CTCAACACTCTCTCTCTCATATCGTCTTTCAGACACTCCATCCTTGTCTTCTTCACGCGTTTTTTTTTCCTAACCTATTTCCCGGTAGCCGGACTCAACCTGAGAAAATCGACTATAAATTCAACGCAAACCGAACCTTATTTTAACAGCAGAAGCCTCGAAATCGATTTGAAGCCACAGACCAAACAAGGCACACAGAAAACTGACTATTACATCTTAGTCGAAAATTCTCGAGTGACTCTCACAATATTTGCACATCGGGGACGTGTGTGTGAAACCGTGAATATACGTAATATGAATTCCCGGAGACGGGAGCGCGGCTGTGTCTGGCCGACGTTTAAATGGATATTGCCTCCAGCGGATTCAATCCGGTATTGAGCGCTCCATAATGAAATTTACATATTCCTTTGATAAATACTACGTACTGGTGGTAGGACGTGTTGTGATGCCGCACGGGTAGGTACTGCCCTGCTTATTTTTGCTGTGAAGCAGTAATGCGTTTCGGTTTGAAGGATTGGGTAGCCATTGTAGCTATAATGAGACCTTAGACCTCATATCTCAAGGTGGCATTTACGTTTTAAATGTCTATGGGCTTCGGTATGAATATTTAAAAAAATCTAATATTTAAAAAAAAAAAGACATGCCCGCTGAGTTTCTTGCCAATTCTTCTCAGGACGGAGGCTAGTTCTTGTGAATTGGCGGTAGTTCTTTTGACGTTCAACAAGTATGTTCTTTCATTTATGTTGAATATTTTATTTTTTATTTTATTTGATTTGATTTGGTAAACACTCAATACCAAGTGGTGTGAACTCGTCAACCCATTAAAGAATATAAAAAAAAAAAATCTATCATTCTCGACAGTTACGCTTTGTATTTTTCTATAATATACTCGTACAATAAACGTACCACTGTTTCTCCCTATAAATCTATATATTAATACGTGAAGCAAAAACTTTGTATCCCTTTTTACGAAAATTGCGCGGACGGAGGAGTATGAAATTTTCCACACTTATAAAGAATATAGAGAAGAAGTGCACAATGCTAATATTTTTTTAAAATAATGCATAAAAGATACATTAAATCGATAAAGAAAACATTACACACACTACATACCACGTATTTGACGCACACACGCATGCATACTATTTATTGTCAAACTTTTGTTCTTGACGTCTGTTGTCAAATTGAGAATAGATTAAACATTGTATGTCTTTATTAATATTTTTTTATAGTGTAGTCTTGGCGAAATTTGTGATTATAAAGTACAAAATACAATTATAATAGTGTACAAACTTACAATTCCAACTAATTATAGTCGAATTTCGACTACTACGGGATCACTAGTATAAAATAAGACACAAGAGATTGTTTTTCAGTAAAATTACGCTCAATAAACAGTCTCCGGAGACGACGTTCTTTTTTTTTATTTTTTATTGCTTAGATGGGTGGACGAGCTCGCAGTCCACCTGGTATTAAGTGGTTACTGGAGCCCATAGACATCTAAAACGTTAATGCGCCACCCACCTTGAGATATAAGTTCTAAGGTCTCAAGTATGGTTACAACGGCTGCCCCACCACCCTTCAAACCGAACGCATTCTTTAGGATTTTCCCGGGGTTGAAATTGCCTATCATCAGGACGGGTACCGACGAAGGTGGGCTTTCGGCGGGCACTATGCGATACCGTAGGCTTCGTCCAGCCGGTGTGGTGAAGCTCGTTGGGCTTAGTCGGTAGTCGGTTCTGCGAGGTGGGACCTCTTCTTGTCCTCCTCTTTTTCTACTTTTCGCTCTTCTTCCGGAATTCGACATAACCCGGTCTGTTACCCCCTCGATAGAAGCGCAAACGGAGTAACCCAAAAAAAAATGGATTAAAAACAGCATTTAAATCAAAGAAAATCCTTCTGTTACTGCGCCTGATAAACACACGGTTGTATTTAAAAAAATTATATATTTTTACTATAATATTTTTATATAAGCATATGCGTATGATATCGTACATACTAAATTACATATTTTGCAGAAATTACTAAAGGATTTTTAAATAAAAGTACCATATATAATAATATATAGTACCATAACAAAAATCAATGCTATATTCACAGCAAAACAATTTGAAATGGTTATTTATAGATGTGATTAAGTTATTTAAAAACATTATACATACGCTCGCTAAAATACGTCTGTTCAGGCCGATACCTAATACCTATAATCAAACTGCGCTAACAGTCAGTATTCCGACGCTCCGGATGCGCATTAATAGAGAGTCGATCTATCGACGGTTCGCGCTCAAAGGCTTTCAAAAGCAAAGACGTTCACCTGAAGTGTTATTTCCAAGCAGTGTTCAATATAAAACTGACGATCGTGTCACCCTAATCTCGAAGTGATTGTGCTCAGAATAATTTCGTCGCCTATTTAATGGATATTCACTTTCCATTCCAGTACGTGTTTGTGTATACCAATGTCGTCGTCTCAATTTTATTACACGATCTCGGCGAGTCGTCACTTTTCTATCCAGCGGGAGCCTCTGAAGATCGATCGAAGTTTCTCGTGAATACATGACGTAATATAGAGTTTAGGTTATAAATTTTTTTAGATGAACACTTTTTTTAGATTCTTCGTGATCTAAAATTCGACCGTCAAATTGCGTAAGCATGCTCCAGATCTTTTAAATAAATATCTAAATGGGTTCACGATTGAATGCCTTTATTAAGGAAGATACCGTATGATATATTATGTACCGTATATACCGTACATCGTGTAATAAAAATCAAACCCGCAAAATTATAATTTGCGTAATTACTGGTGGTAGGACCACTTGTGAGTCTTCGTGGGTAGGTACCACCACTCTACCTATTTCTGCCGTGAAGCAGTAATGCGTTTCGGTTTGAAGGGTGGGACAGCCGTTGTAACTATACTGAGATCTTAGAACTTATATCTCAAGGTGGGTTGCGCATTTAAGTTGTAGATGTCTACGGGCTCCAGTAACCACTTAACACCAGGTGGGCTGTGAGTTCATCCACACATCTAAGCAATAAAAAAAATAAAAAAATATGTGCGGGTATATGTACATATATAATATCTAACCCACAAAATGTACATAACACACGTCATTACTATTCAGAATATGGGTATGTACGGGTAGGTATCACCAACCTGCTCATGTTATTACGAAGCAGCCATTCATTCCGGATCTAAGGGTGGGACAGTCATCACAAAAAAAATTACGGCATTTGTGATAATTGATAACCACTTAACACTGGAAAATGATCATACGTCTCATTATATATATGCATATTAAAAAAACGCACACATAGTTTTTCTTTTTTTTTATCGATAACTCTCTCACTACATCACTATTGGAAAAGTCATTGAACTACCGTCTCGATATGCACAGTAGTGGAAAATTAGCGCTTATAGCCATGTAGGTACGCGGTAGGGATGGGCGAATATTGGAATTTGAGATCTCCTTGGGCGATCCCAATCCTCCGGATATTAAAGTCACTAAAACTCCTAGACATTAAAACGCCGTTAATCTAAAGAAATCAGGTAAAGGCTGTCTGTGTCATTAATTTAGTTCAAAAAAACCACTAAAGATACTTTCTTATCGTCGTAACAACTTCACTAGCCACTTCAGCGAATGAAAATGCATCAACACACATAGCGCAGTAAGATCAGTATGTACAAATAAATATGTACTTAAAAACTAAATAACAACGCCGTAATACTAAATCGAATGAAAAACATAAATAATAATTTATTTTAATCAAAGGTCTTCTGTAAACCTAAAACCAACACAAAATTATTTACGACGTGATGAAATTTTGTAATTATTGTAATAAAAACAGCTTTATAGTCAATGTAGACTACAATATTCATACCAACTAATAATGCCCACACAATTCATTACATAAATAATTTTGTAAAATTGCCAAACTTTCGTGAGTGACACAAAGCTGTCCAAAAACCTAAACTTTTACATCATGGACTATGGCAAACCCCAAACCCATTCAATAAACCTTTTTTTTTCTTGGGAAAATTGACAAATAACCGACAACTATCGAACCATCGATAACTATTCTAAAACATCGACAACGTAAATCCCCACATCACTATGGCTACGTAAACTCGTTCAAGTGGGGTATTGATATTGAGGTTGAAATGGCGGAAAAATATCCCCGGCTTACGGCTTACTCCTCCGAACGTTAGATCCAGACAGATTGAAATATCTAGACAGGATATAGACGGGGGGAGAGCAATACTTTCAATCACTGAATGTCTCTTGTTTACGAAGATATAATCTTCACAGCGTCCTTTCGGATTTATTTTTAAAAAGTTCACAAGATCTGATAGAGTTATGTAATGCAATGGGATGGAAACAACATAGAAACACTAGAAAACCTATTATTCTTTTTACGCTGTGATTTTTATCGTGTTAAGTATCAGAGCTTATAGAGATCACAACGTGAATATTATTGCCGAGCCTGAGACCGGTCCAAGTCTTAAGAACTTTACATAACAGTTGGCCGACCCATCAAACCGAAACGCATTATTGCTTCGCAGCAGAAATAGGTAATACTGTACCCAGTATCCTGTCAGTATGCCCTACCACTAGCAAACGGTAGGTGATCGTGACAAATTTCTCAGATAGGTACCACCACCCTACCTATTTCTGCCGTTAATGCGTTTCGGTTTGATGGGTGGGGCAGCCGTTGTAACTATACTGAGACCTTAGAACTCTTATCTCAAGGTAGGTGGCGGCATTTACGTTGTATATGTCTAGTAACAACTTAATACTAGGTGGGCTGTGAGCTCGTCCACCTACCTAAGCAATAAATAAATAAAAATTGGAACCAACCTGGCATCAGAATCGCAAGGGCATTTAATCTATAAGTCACGATAGAATCGCAAACGCGATCACTAGGTCGATGCTACTACTTGGCCAATGCTAATGCCTACCAGTATACTTTCGCCAGATTTAATTGAGGTTTCTTCTTCATTGCAGCTGCACTCAGAATACCGCAGCACGTACAGATGGCACGAATTCAAAGAGCAGCAACAGGGCGTGGTGAAGCAACCGGCTCCCACACCACCCTCAGCATTACCCATCGCAAGGGGTAAGTGTGGTATATAAGTATGGCGGTTTGCTACAAAGAAGCAACGTCATGATAATCGCCTTATCGTTGCCGCCGCTGACAACTCCCCGATCCTGATCACGCACGAGCCAGTCACCGTCGTCGCCCTAGACACGTCCTTACGGATCCATCAAATCCAATAACTCTTGCATTAGAAACCTTCAGCTCTAACACTAGGAGCAGGCATAGGGACCCTGGTAACCGTATTCGTCGAACTCGGCAAAGAGTTCGACGTGCAACTTAACCCATGCATCAGCCCGCTGAGTTTCTCGCCGGGTCTTCTCAGCGGGACGCGATTCTGAGCCGGTAGTAGATTCATTCGCGAAGCAGCTGCTCTTGAGTTGTTAGGTCTTCTTCGAAGGCGCTCGGGCAGCTGTTAGCAAATGCCACCCCTCCTCCGCCTCCGGGTCACCAGTAATACTTCACTCATAAAAAAAAACAAGGAAACAAAATACAATTATGAAGCGAAAATTTCTTTGGCACCGTTGCTGAATTTGAAGCCCAATTAACGGGAAATTTTCTTTGAAATAATATTTATAATATAATATAATAATATAATATAATAAAATAATATTTCTGAAAGTTTCACTTCTACCGCATGGAAACGCATGCTTTTAATTTTACTATGACCTACTCTTGTTCCACCGTTACTATTTCCATTCTTGAGACTATTGCTGTCAAGTCATCATTTATCGATCGACAATTTATCGATTACCGATTACAAGTTATGACAAGTTATGACTTGTAATCGATAAATTCATAACTTGTAATCGATAAATTGTAATCGTCGATTATCTGACGATCATTTACTTGACTGAAGAAGGGAACATGGTGACTCCCGAAAAACTATAAACGTGACGTTTTACTGAACAAACTTTTTGATGTATTGATTCCAAGCTCAGTGAGTTTCTCGCCGGATCTTCTCCCCGCGACCCACTGCGTTTCCGATTCGGTGGTTGATTCTGCGAAGCACGGCTCTTACTAGGGCCAGTGTTGGCAACGACGTCAGGTTTGAGCCCCGTGAGCTCACCTACTCGCCCGGTAAAGCTGATATGGTCTCTCAAGACTATCAGCTTAAGTAGGGGAAAAAATCCACAGCAAACATTATTTAATTTATTTAATGATAGTAATTTATTGCGCTCAAAATAAATTCGATAAAAATCATAATCGTGTTTCATGACCACTTGAGACATCAATAATAATAAATAAGTTTCATTTTCATTAACGCTGACTTAAGATATTCTCCTGTGTTACAGAAAACACATACGACACGAGAACAAATAGTACATACAGATAATATTATCACTATCTATCAATTTAGTATTTTTATATGTTATTATTTTATGTATTTCATTATATTTTATATGTGCGTGTATTTATATGTTTATGTTATTTATGTGTGTAATTGTGTATGTATATAGTCTGATATATTATGTATTAGTGTTTTTTATTTTTATTATTGTTATTGTGTATTGTATCAATAAGTAAATTGATTAGATTGTACTCATCTACCCACTCATGTAAAGCTTTCCTTCTTTAAGAACGGTTAGCTAGTAGATAACTCAATTGTTGAGTTAAGCTTGCCATTTTTTTTATATCTTATCGCAATTACTGTATTATATTAACTGTGTGTACAAAAAAAAATAAAAAAATAAAAAAAAGAATATTTACAAAGACACAGTTTTCGCGTTGCGAGTATTTTTTTTACCTTTTACTTCAAATATACTTCAAATACTTCAATATGAATACTTCAAAATGTTTGCTTCGCCGCATAAGATGTTACCTACTAGGCATGCCTTTTAAGTTCTATCGTTTCCATATTTCGCGGCAATTTTGAATTTGGAACTGTTCTATATTCGAATGTGTTTAAATTTTGAATCTCAAAACAGTTGAAAGTAGTTTAACCCACAGACACAGCCCACTGAGCTTCTCGCCGGATCTTCTCAGCGGGTCGCATTTCCGATCCGGTGATAGATTCTGCGAAGCACGGCTCTTGCTAGGGTCAGTGTTAGCAACTCTCCGGTTTGAGCCCCGTGAGCTCACCTACAAACGATAGGGTGAAGCTGAAATAGCCTCTCAAGGCTATCAGCATAGGTAGGATAAAAAAAATTGAAAGTATTAGGATTACCTAATGCTATTGTAATATTCTAATGTGTATAAGTGAACGGTGATATGCGCCTTAATTCGATGCACAAATAATAATTATGCTTTATATAAATTAGATTAGGCAATTTTTTTATGTGTACACAGCAGTTTAATTAAAAAAAAACTAAACAACACATATACGTAACTAATTAAACCTTGTATTTATTACGACTATTCGACCCTTTACACAAGATTGTTTTTTATTTTTTTATTGCTTAGATGGGTGGACGAGCTCACAGCCCACCTGGTGTTAAGTGGTTACTGGAGCCCATAGACATCCACAACGCAAATGCGCCACCCACCCTGAGATATAAGTTTTAAGGTCTCAGTATAGTTACAACGGCTGCCCCACCCTTCAAACCGAAACGCATTACTGCTTCACGGCAGAAATAGGCAGAAACAGGCATGGTGGTATCTACCCTTCACCGTGGAAGTCAATCGTGAACATTTGTTGAGTGCGTATTTCATTAGAAAAATTGGTACCCGCCGGCGGGATTTGAACACCAATGCATCGCTACATATGCACCGGGCGTCTTATCCTTTAGACCAGGACGACTCATTGACTCATCATTACTTAAAATTCTTGGCATCAGAAACATGTATTAGTCTGAAAACTAAAAATATTGACCAAATCTTTCTGTCCAGGTCCAATAGAGCCAGCCATACCTCGTCGTAAGAAGTATCCGGGCGTGGCCTACAAGACAAATGAACTCTTCGATCCTGTGCCTGCTGACGGGATCAGACCTCAAGGATCAGCGGCAGATCGCGCCAGGGTCGGTGACTATAGAAATTCGAGAGCTAACTTGATTATGACGCTACAAAATCCATAGCAGATATGAACTGTTTTTTTCTAAACTCGAGTACCTATCCTGGTGTCACGGGACGTGTAAGCAAGCTCATAGGGCTCAGCCTAGAGATGAACTGTACCTAAGACATTACTCATATTAACAAAGAGAATTCCCAATTACTTCTAGATTTGTAATTATTTTTTTCGGACTTCGTACCAACCCTATGTAAACTAAACTAGATGTTGCTAATTGAAAATCGGAGTTTAACATTATGAAAGGTTGTTTAATCCTCAAATGATTTTGACATCACAAAAAAAATCCTCGTTTTCAACGCTCTACCGATATCTACAAAACATGTACAAGATAAAAATGTATAAGTCACTAAATATACGTGTCACTTATGACTAATCATTACCGGACATTTTAGCCCCAAATGACGTCACTCATAGTGATGTCACGAACAGAGTATTGAGAAGATTTTTTATCAATATTTTTGTGAGATTTTTAGTCACTTTCTGATGTCTCTTGTGTCAAATTAAATACAATTCGAAATATTAAAGAAATTTTATATCATAACTAATTAATTTTAATTTCATGTCTGTCACAGCATTTTGACATTCGACATAAATTCGAATGGTTTTCAAACAGCGCATGCGCGGACAAAAATCAAGATGTCCACTTTCTTTGCATACATTCATCTCTTTCCAACACTAAATCACATTGAAGCTACGACCTCCACACGACGGATAAGTCATCGATCGTTGTTAATCCACCACAAGGGAGATATAGAGGCGTACCAGACCCTGTTTTGCACTAAAGCATCAACAAATCTAGTTGCATCAGCAAATACGTTGAATTAAATTCACCGTCTCAATATTCAAGCGTTACTAATGCACAATCGAGTTGTTCTTTTTTTTTTTTTTATTGCTTAGATGGATGGATGAGTTCACAGCCCACCTGGTGTTAAGTGGTTACTAGAGCCCATAGACATCTACAACGTAAATGCGCCACCCACCTCGAGATATAAGTTCTAAGATCTCAGTATAGTTACAACGGCTACCCCACCCTTCGAACCGAAACGCATTACTGCTTCACGGCGGAAATAGGCGGGGTGGTGGTACCTACCCGTGCGGACTCCCAAGAGGTCCTACCACCAGTGAAAATATTCTCCATCAATATTTGTTTAATATTGTATACAGAGCGCGCAAAGGAATGACGCTGATCGCGCTGGACGCCGTAGCAAGTCTGAGGGGCCCCGACAACCAAGATGGACTGATACAGTCGAACCTAAGGTATTATTTGTTCATTGTCATGCGAACTAGCGACCCGCCCTCGCTTCGCTTCAGAAACTGTAATTTATTATTGATATATTGATATGATCTCCACTATTTAATGGATGCTATTATACATATAAACCTTTCTCTTCTATCACTCTATCTATTAAAAAAAACCGCATCAAAATCCGTTGCGTAGTTTTAAAGATTCAAGCATACATAGGGATATAGGGACAGAGAAAGCGACTTTGTTTCATACTATATAGTGATGCAACATACAGACAACAATGCGTAAAATTTTTCAATCAGGTTTCAAAGATCTTCATAAGTACATCGATATGCGCGTAAGAGTGAATTGACGCAAACTACTTATGTCCGGTTCGAAAGAGGCAAATGTTATGCTACAAAGTGATTAAGATTTCAAACTCCTGTATCAAAATGAATGGAGGCATTTAAGCCATCTTTTGACAATGATGACAATAGGTCAACGTGATAAGATTATTAAATCGTTATTGATCGATACGCGTGCGTAAATTGTTGTCTTAATCGGGACTTTTCGAAATTTGGAAAAAAGTAGACAGCGGCCTAGCATTGCCATGGGCGACGGTAACTCGTCTGCCTACAAGGGCAATAAAAATAAAAAAAATAAAAAAAAACGTGGAAGTTTTCCGTTACATTGATAGATAGAGGATAATTTAAAAGCGTGAACATATAATTTATGCTGTATATGCCCCTGCGAAGCAATCTATTTTTTCTCCTACCTAATCGCGCTGGTAGCCTAGACGAGCTAACTAATTAGAGCTACTTTCGACGCACGAAACAGGTCTATTACTAGGTCTTTTACTATGTCTATTACTAGGTCTATTACTAGGTCTATTACTATTAGGTCTATTACTAGGTCTATTACTATTAGGTATATTACTATTAGGTCTATTACTAGGTCTATTTTCAATTTTTAAGAGGAAAAAAATTTCAATATCGTACACTCGCATACAATCTGCAATATACATATTCAAAACACTCATACGCGCACCTTTCATAACTAACTTCCGTAAGTATCACGCAAATGAAACGAGATAAACTCCCCGAATCGAGAACATTTTCTATTCGACAACCGGTTAAAATTAATGCCAACAAAATTACGTACAGTACTTACACAAGATTACGTACATACATGGTGAAGCGGTGTTGAAATTTTCATTCGATTTTCAACTTAAAACATTGCTGCATTATACTTGTATTGATGCATTAACAAAAACACGTCATCCGAGTAATAATCATCGTTATTATCGAAATTATCTTAATGAATCAGTCGTGTTTAAGTTTTTCCATGTGCGGTTCACAGCAACGCACCAAGATCGCGAATTTTTTTATTAATCTAATTTCAGTGGTAAATTTTTAAGTCAAACGTTTATTTCTGTTTGGAGTAAAAAAATCTACACAACGGGACTTCAATCTCAAATCGTGTGGTACGCCGTGGTATTAATATCTACGAGGTCACTTGCAGATATCAGACGCACTAGCTGCATTAAGCAATTTTCAATCACGGAAGCCACAATGATAAATGATAATTGCTCTCACAAATTCTACGTAATTGTTCGGCCGACACCAGTTATGTATTTTAATAGCTATCACGAAACAGTAAGAGCAATATTGCCTTGAGAATGTTAGTGATTGTGATATCAAATTTAGTGCCTGATTTCATCGGAGTACGTGTATTTTTAGCTCTCAGTTTGTATAAGCATCGATTTGAACATCACACGTCCGATTTTGATAATTTTCGAATACTGAACTTAATATTAAATATAGAAACCATAATTTAAAAAATTAAATTTAGTGAATTTAAGTTGAGCTGCTATTTCATACAGCAGCATTGGATACTAGCTGACCCGGCAGACTTCGTAGTGCCTCAATCGATAAATAAAATACCTAAACTTTTGTATAAAATAAACTTAAAACAAACAAAAGGAATCCGTCCGACGGGGGACACATCAAAGGAATAACAAAATTGTTATTTTATATTTACCTTTTAAACCTTCTCTGGACCTTTACAAATATTATAATTCAAGACCAAAATTAGCCAAATCGGTCCAACCTTTCTCGAGTTTTAGCGAGACTAACGAACAGCAATTAATTTTTATATATATAGATAGATTTCGTATGCCTATTAAAATTATCTTACGTTGACAGGCCACCACAGCTCTGGGCGAGGTTGTGGTCGCTAAGGAGCCTGATATGGTGAGCACCGAGTACAGGAACCAATTCGCTTGGCCCAAAGACGATACCACACCTAGGAAGAGCATCTCCATGGGGGCCCTGAAGAAGGCTGCGGCTGCTGAAGGTAAAGTAAAATTGTAAACTTCAACTTCAATTGCGTTCTCCCCGCGATGACTTACGGCGCGGAAACCTGGACACTGACGGCAGGGCTGGCCCACAACTTAAGAGTCGCACAGCGGGCGATGGAGAGAGCTATGCTCGGTATTTCTCTAAGGGACAAAATCCGGAACGAAGAAATTCGACGGAGAACCAAAGTCGACGACATAGCTCTCAAAGTTAGCAGGCTAAAGTGGCAATGGGCCGGTCACATCTGTCGAGCCAGCAACGCCAGATGGGGGAGGAAAGTCCTCGAATGGAGGCCACGGATGGGTACCAGGAGCGTGGGGCGACCTCCAACCAGGTGGACCGACGACTTAGTGCGCACGGTGGGAAGTCGTTGGATGCGGAAGGCGGAGGACCGCATTATGTGGAAGGCATTGGGGAAGGCCTATGTCCAGCAGTAGGCAGATAAAGGCTGATGATGACTTCAGTTCAGTCTTCTTGTAAAATAGGTAAAAAAAATCGTACGAAGAAACGAAGGAAGAAGAGAAAAGGATCTCAAAAAACTTACAAACTTGAACTGGAAGTGTCAGACACTCTTGTATAGACAATCCGATAGAATACCGGCACTACCGGCGAGGTGTATACATTAAATGCTAAGAATTTACATGATTCCTACAACACGATTCATACCACATCCAACTTAAAATTCATCGCGCAAATGGCGCCCGCGGTCATTAAAATTTCACATCAAACCGCAAAGGCGAGACTGCTGCGGATCTGCCTTTGAATTGTTTACACGATACAGGCGTGAAGTTCTGAGATATTCAAATTAGTTGGGTGAGGCTGCGGTCCTAAGGGAGGCAACAGGCAATCTGGATAATAGCTCGGGGTTGATTGCTTCCCGCTTCCGTAGGTTTAACCCGCGATTCCCTACAAGTGACCCCTGGGTGGTGCAAAACGGGAGCCGAACACATAATCGGTGGTAGGACTTGTCCGACTGGCTGGCGACCACCCTCCAACTAGAGTCCGCCGCCAAATAGCCTAGCTGTGTTCCGGCGTGTGGGTTGGAGAGCCAGTTTTATTCCTTCCCTTTCNTATTACTAGGTCTATTACTAGGTCTATTACTAGGTCTATTACTAGGTCTATTACTAGGTCTATTACTAGGTCTATTACTAGGTCTATTACTAGGTATATTACTAGGTATATTACTAGGTCTATTACTAGGTCTATTACTAGGTCTATTACTAGGTCTATTACTAGGTATATTACTAGGTATATTACTAGGTCTATTACTAGGTCTATTACTAGGTCTATTACTAGGTATATTACTAGGTCCATTACTAGGTCCATTACTAGGTCTATTACTAGATCTATTACTAGGTCTATTACTAGGTTTATTTTCAATTTTTAAGAAGAAAAAAATTTCAATTCCATACACTCGCATACAATTTGCAATATACATATTCAAAACACTCATACGCGTACCTTTCATAACTAACTTCCGTAAGTAGGTATCACGCAAATAAAACGAGATAAACTCCCCGAATCGAGAACATTTTCTATTCGACAACCGGTTAAAAATTAATGCCAACAAAATTACGTACAGTACTTACACAAGATTACGTACATACATGGTGAAGCAGTGTTGAAATTTTCATTCGATTTTCAACTAAAAACATTGCTGCATTATACTTGTATTGATGCATTAACAAAAACACGTCATCCGAGTAATAATCATCGTTATTATCGAAATTATCTTAATGAATCAGTCGTGTTTAAGTTTATCCGCGTGCGGTTCACAGCAACGCACCAAGATCGCGAATTTTTTTATTAATCTAATTTCAGTGGTAAATTTTTAAGTCAAACATTTATTTCTGTTTGGAGTAAAAAAATCTACACAACGGGACTTCAATCTCAAATCGTATGGTACGCCTTCGTAGAGGTCATTTGCAGATATCAGACGCACTAGCTGCATTAAGCAATTTTCAATCACGGAAGCCACAATGATAAATGATAATTGCTCTCACAAATTCTACGTAATTGTTCGGCCGACACCAGTTATGTATTTTAATAGTTATCACGAAACAGTAAGAGCAATATTGCCTTGAGAATGTTAGTGATTGTGATATCAAATTTAGTACCTGATTTCATCGGAGTACGTGTATTTTTAGCTCTCAGTTTGTATAAACATCGATTTGAACATCACACGTCCGATTTTGATAATTTTCGAATACTGAACTTAATATTAAATATAGAAATCATAATTTTAAAACATAAATTTAACGAATTTAAGTGTAGCTGCTATTTCATACTATTTACTATAAGCAGCAGGACCTACACATTGGATACTAGCTGACCCGGCAGACTTCGTAGTGCCTCAATCGATAAATAAAAGACCTAAACTTTTGTATAAAATAAACTTAAAAAAAACAAAAGGAATCCGTCCGACGGGGGACACATCAAAGGAATAACAAAATTGTTATTTTATATTTACCTTTTAAACCTTCTCTGGACCTTTAAAATATTATAATTCAAGACCAAAATTAGCCAAATCGGTCCAACCTTTCTCGAGTTTTAGCGAGACTAACGAACAGCAATTAATTTTTATATATATAGATAGATTTTGTATGCCTATTAAAATTATCTTACGTTGACAGGCCACCACAGCTCTGGGCGAGGTTGTGGTCGCTAAGGAGCCTGATATGGTGAGCACCGAGTACAGGAACCAATTCGCTTGGCCCAAAGACGATACCACACCTAGGAAGAGCATCTCCATGGGGGCCCTGAAGAAGGCTGCGGCTGCTGAAGGTAAAGTAAAATTGTAAACTTCAACTTCAATTGCGTTCTCCCCGCGATGACTTACGGCGCGGAAACCTGGACACTGACGGCAGGGCTGGCCCACAACTTAAGAGTCGCACAGCGGGCGATGGAGAGAGCTATGCTCGGTATTTCTCTAAGGGACAAAATTCGGAACGAAGAAATTCGACGGAGAACCAAAGTCGACGACATAGCTCTCAAAGTTAGCAGGCTAAAGTGGCAATGGGCCGGTCACATCAGTCGAGCCAGCAACGCCAGATGGGGGAGGAAAGTCCTCGAATGGAAGCCACGGATGGGTACTAGGAGCGTGGGGCGACCTCCAACCAGGTGGACCGACGACTTAGTGCGCACGGAAGTCGTTGAATGCGGAAGGCGGAGGACCGCATTATGTGGAAGGCATTGGGGAAGGCCTATGTCCAGCAGTGGGCAGATAAAGGCTGATGATGACTTCAGTTCAGTCTTCTTGTAAAATAGATAAAAAAAAATCGTACGAAGAAACGAAGGAAGAAGAGAAAAGGATCTCAAAAAACTTACAAACTTGAACTGGAAGTGTCAGACACTCTTGTATAGACAATCCGATAGAATACCGGCACTACCGGCGAGGTGTATACATTAAATGCTAAGAATTTACATGATTCCTACAACACGATTCATACCACATCCAACTTAAAATTCATCGCGCAAATGGCGCCCGCGGTCATTAAAATTTCACATCAAACCGCACAGGCGAGACTGCTGCGGATCTGCCTTTGAATTGTTTACACAATATAGGCGTGAAGTTCTGAGATATTCAAATTAGTTGGGTGAGGCTGCGTTCCTAAGGGAGGCAACAGGCAATCTGGATAATAGCTATGTAAATAGAAACGTACTGTTTTACGTAGTACACTTAAAGCTTTAATTATGATAATAGGTGAACTACTTGTTTTATTTATAACGGCAATTGCCGGGCTCTCATAAAAATGATACAGATATAAAACACTGCGGAGTATTTTACAAAATCCAGGCCCGTTTTATGACAGATCGCAAATTGAGACATTTGTCCTCTTTGAAAAAAGCTTTAAAGATACCAGGAATGAGGCTATGCAATGTTTTAGCACATATTCCGTATATGTCCTAAGGCCCACCCGAAAAAAATAGGGTATTTAAAGTAATCTATTGTTTTTAAGATGACATTTTCGTTTGTCGTAATGAAGTTCAAAATAATGACGGCTCTTTTAAAGAAATAACCAGAACACAATTTTAATGTAGACGGTTGAAAGCAAACTTCACAAATACACCGTGAAATTTACTAACAAAAAGCCTTTGAAATAATTTTTTTGTTGAAAAACTAGTTCCGTGTACAGAATGTTATTGAACTGTAACGATCGAAGCGGTTTTCAATAGCCAAGATGAGAATAACAGATCAGGGCACAACGAATGTTGACCGGTCATTACAAAACAAACACATTAACGTAATTACCCGTATCCAGCTTGAGATTGGACGACTTAATGTGAGAGACACGAGATCGAATGTTTTATTGGTAGCAGAAATGGGCAGCATGATGCTAAGATACCCGGAATTAGAGTGAGAACTTATAAATTAGGAATCTAGCTAAAAAATAGGTGAGTATAGCTATGGCTGCAGATGGTATTAAACTAATACCTGTAGCGCAAGGTGATAATAATATGGCTCGCAAACTTTTGATTTATATGATATGTTTCAATTCAGGGGTGAGCCACGTTTTTAATCAACGGGCCTATTTAAATTAAAAATTTTTTTAGCCGGTCGCTTAAGCGGCTCTCGGCCGCGTGTTGCTCATCCTTGTTCTAATTAATTACCAGATAGACTTATCTTACTTGATGACTTATATTATTAAGATCTAATCTAATATTTTCTAAAAGAGCGGTTTCCCGAATTCGCTAATTGCTACTACAAATGATGTAATGGGCTACATCAAGATTTATCTTACACTAGCTTGTTATATAAAACTATTCTACATAGTTATTGTTTTGGTGTATTTTTTTAGACAAAAAAAAGTTACCATAACATTTATACAAATTGCAAACAATACACTATTGTTACACTACACTACAGTTAAGTCATATTTTTGTCGACTTTGACTTTACGAAAGGTTATCTTCAGGTTCAGTTGAGGTTGAGCCTCTCATGAACCACGTGGATGGTGACCACGACGAGGGCCATAAACGATATATCGAAGACTATTTGTGGAACGGCCAGAAACCAGGGGTCCAAAGGTAAAAATAATCTTTAAGAATTTCTATTTTCGATCAAAAATATACTTCATAAGTCGATATATTTAGATGATATGATTGATGATTTCTCATAGTCCAGACATTTTTTCATGCAAATATTAATGTGTAATTACAGTCCTTATGAAGTATAATTTTAATTCCAATTATATGAATTCAGTATGTTTCTACAAATACATGCTTAATTTCAATAGAAATCGATATGTTTTGTAAAAATATCCTGGTCCAGCTTTGGCTTAACACGAAATCCATTAAAAGGCCTTCCAAATTGTATTACCTTAGTTTAATTTAATAGATTGTTTCATTTGTTCCTTAATATATTTTAGCATGCGTTAAAATTTATTTATTTTACATATAAAGTATAGTAATATGTATATTATAATTATCAAGGTTAATGTGTATTAATTTGGTGACATTGTACATAAGAAACAGTCTATACATGTTGAACGACAGAGCTTAAATAAAATCACATGAAATGCACTGTCACTGAGCTTTGCTTTAGCTAAAGCAGCTTTTTTGCAAGGGAATACGGCACAAATTTAAAAAAAAAACAGGGGACAGTCACTTACATCTATTCATTTCAGCTAACCTCATAAACATGAACTAACAGATACATAACACGTGATTATCATGACACTAAACACGAATATGTAAAATCCATTAAAAGCCGGATGTTGTGCAACATACAAACAATTAACTGTAAATAATGTTTTGAAATATATTAAACATTGTGAGATAAATAATTTCGTAACTTTTACAGGTGAAGAAATATCTTGAGCGAAATGTATTGCTACATGGCTTTCTATAAATGTGTTCAGCTTTTGTTTTTTGTTGAACGTAAAAAGAACCTTGTGGTAAAACGAAATAGGGTAACGAAATGAATCTTCCTAAATTACAAACAGATTACTATCTTCCTACTACATCATTACAGAAATTTAACTGTCTACATTAAAACGTTACAATACTAGTTACAATTTCACTTTAATTACCGTTTTAAGCATGTTCCTTCTGAATTTAAAACTTACCCACCAATACCTTTTCTTTATTATCTTTTCACTAACTTTTTCTTATGTATTCGTCCATACTATGATCAGTTTAAGAACTATTTAGTTTTCATTGCAACATTCTTGTTCTTAGGAAGATTAATATTATCACGGAGCAAAATGTTGTCTAGGTTCTCTTTACGTTCCCGTTCTGCCCTCGACTTTTTAAAAAAAACAAGTAATAAAAGAAGCAGAACTGAGTCTAAATTTCGTTTTTGATATTTGCTTAACATTTTCAAATCTCCTCACGGTGGCGGTGTCTAGTCTAGGCGGAGTAGATTAGTCGAAATTAACTAGTACGGAATGAAAGCTAAATAGACTAATTTTTTTTAATTAATGTTCAATGTCCTGCACTGTTGGTGTGAACGTCCAAAAATGTTTTGATTAGATTTTGTATGTCGATGTATCACCACACTTGAACACCGAAATGATTGACGTCACAGGGCGTGAGCCCACACTATCTGTTCTGTCGGTCCTTCTAGACTCTTCTTAATTGAAACATCTTAACCTCACCATTGCGAGCTTGAAAATTATTTGAAGCATGTCTGTACTAATCCGGCTCGGCGCGAGTCGTTTCTGTTGCCGCATCATCATCGCAGACAACAACTCCAACCGTCTAAGACTTAAATGGAATTTTCCAGAAAATCGACGTTCCGTAACGCGCTATCGGCCCTCATATCCAACGGGGAGGATCGTTCCAAAGATAATAGGAAACGTTACAAAAGCGAGTACAAAAAGAAATTTAGACCGTTCTCTCAATACGTGTATGAGGCGTCTAAAGGGAAATTTACAAAATGCAGGGGTAAAGGGAAGTCGAATGAGGAGGCGAGCGAGAGGATGCTGGGGGAGAATCAGGGTTCTGGGGAGGGGGGTCAGGGTGGGGGTGTGGAGGACAGTGCCAGTACATTGCGGGCGGCCGGTCTGCAACCCCTGGGGCTGGCGCAAGGCGACTCTTGGTACAGGGAGGTTCTGGACTTGCGCAAGCGTGCCGGCGAGTACAAGGTCTGCGCCATAATCCTTCCTAAATTTATGAAGATAGCATAGAATTATTTCTAAATTAGCATATTTTTTTTATGTAAATAAAACATTTACAAAGGTTCGGTTTAGAATTCCAATGAATTATAGTCATTACCAAAAAGACGATAGCCGCAAATTAATTCACCTCGCTCTGAACGTAAAACAATGTTCATACAATTTCCAAGCTAGGAGAACAATGCGCTCTCATTCTCACATTGGAAATCTTATGATGTTTCCATGTTAAAGCTAATCGTCATTGTTCGTTTATGAAACTTTTCTGTTATTCTATTAAATTATGGCGTTCGTGTTACGTTATGAATCAATTAGTTTAATTGGTTGAACTTACAAAGTCGGACCACAAACATAGTCATGGTTCAACCATACTGAAAGTAGGCATTGATCGACAGTACCGCGGCTGGGGCACGGAACTGGCGCCAGAACACCTCACTCAGCTTTACAATAAGCAAATCGAGCTGTGGTACCAAGTGTCCCGCAGATCATCGCTGTCGGCATTATCACTCGCTTCCACCAATCACAAGTAAGTGATGCACATAATGGTATGCCAAGCCACATCCAGCTCTAAAGTTCAAGTAAACCTGTATACAATTCTCGTGTGTCCCTTGGAGCGGATCCATTTTATCATAAGTATAGTTGGCAAAAGCTGGTACTAAGCGAGAATGGCTTGAATAGCAAATAAAGCCATCGCAAGCAGTAGTTAAGCACATCATAACCCCTAGCTCGGCCATATTAAAATAACAAATATACCACCTAATCTTTGATAAACGGACGACGCTGAGTAAGGCTTCTGCATAGTAAAGTATAATAATAAATTCTGTGAATAATTTTTGATTAATAATTGAAAATCCAATACCGAATATCTATTGAACTCTCACCAATACTCTTCAGGGTGCTGCCTCGAGACGAAAAAGACGGCAAAGAGTCCAAGAACCAATCCCCTAAGAAGTTTAGATCGTTCCGGTCGGCGCCCCACCAGTCAATCCACGCAAAACTTCAGGAAACGAAGGCCCTGGAGCGTTCCCCTCACAAGACCTCGCCCCAGAAGCAAAGGAAGAAGTTACAGGGACACAGTTTCGATGAGGGTGCTGCTTTAGATGGTATGTTACTTAAAAGGGTCTTTGAAATTCACTGCCGTTTGAAGAATGAAGGACAATCTTCAGAAAACTTCAGACACACTGGCTTCGACCTCAAATCTCAAGGATGGCCACCCCATGGGCTGGTCTTGTGAACTTGTAATCCGTCTCTTGTAACTTTTTTCCTTTTTTTCTTTTTCCTACCTATGCTGATAGCCTTGAGCTATTTCAGCTTCACACTAACGTGTACGTGAGCTCACAGGGCTCAAACCGGGAGTGTTGCTAACATTGGCCCAAGCAGGAGCAGTGTTCTCAGAATCTACCACCGGGTCGGAAACCCACTGAGAATATCCAGCGAGAAATTCTGTGGGTTGTGTCTTTTTTATCTTTTTTATTGCCCTTGTAGGTAGACGAGCATACGGCCCACCTGATGGTAAGTGGTTATCGTCGCCCATGAACTTCAACAATGCCAGGTGTAGAGCCAAGCCGCTGCCTACAAAAGCTGCTGTCTATGGGTTAATTTACTCGTCGACCCCTTCGCCGCAAACGACGGGTTCGGCGCGGACGGTGACCGGTGCTTGAGGTACCTAAAAGCACCGTTAATGGATCGAGGCTTGTAACAAAAGCGGTCTCAATGTTAAGAAGCGTACGTATTTAAGTGATATCCTTCAGGAGTAAAGACCGGTGAGAATTCGGCGTTCAAGTCGCCGCGGCGCCGCCCCCGCTCCGCGGACCCCGCCCCCGCGCATCTCAAGCACGCGCCCAACGGACACGACGCGCGACCCATCAAGCCGAGCGGTATGTACACAATTAACAATATCATCCAGTAGACTACTGTTAGTACTTTAAGCCCGCTTGGGTAAATAGCACCATACAGAGCTTATCTTTGTCGCGATTTAAGGGTTAAAAGGCAGGATACTCTTTAATCGCAATTACAAGCCAAAAGCCGTCTTGGCCTAACGGATAATGTACCTTTTGTCCCGAAAAAACATTACCACGGGAAACTAAACAAACACTTGGCCTTGACCAGTCGCACGAAGCCGCAAATATCAGATAGTAATAAATACATAAAGAAATTAAAACCTCATGTCTCATGAAGTAGCGGTTTTCATTGTGTGATGGCTGAAAGCTAACTTGTCCTTGAATTTCGTCTACCCGTCTATAACAACGATAAAAACTTCTAGCACACGCGCAACCATGATTGAAGTAGCTGTAAATGCTTTGATGTTCGTAATGTTATTAATGATGTGTGAAGATACAGTATTCATGTCGCCGAGTCTTTATGCGTTTCTGGCACCTTGAGGGCTAGAAGATTTTTTGGCGGGAACACGAGGAACTAACGAATGTTTATTTAGGCTTAGACGTGGGATAATGGTGGCTTATTAACCGTTTAGTTCAGCGGTCGGGGAACCGGAGCAAATTACCCCAAATGGGGTAAAATGGCATTTTGGGGGGTAAAAATGAAACTTTTGTGCGTAAAAAGTATCATACATTGAAGTGAAACTTCTTTACAATCGTTAAATTTTTAGTTATTGTTTTCTTTTCAAAATTATCATGGGGATTTTAATATGAAAGATGCTAAAAAGAAGCGATTTCGTTTTTTTTTGTTCTTCGCCATGGGGTAATATCAACTTACACAACAATATTTCGGGGTAATAATTAAAAAAATTCCCCGACCGCTGGTTTAGTTTTTCATGTGGATAAATAAAACAAAGTCACAGGACGGATTAGCGGACTCGAGTGATTCCGAAAAGTCCACTAAGTCTCTTTGTAAACCCTCAAAAATTCACTGGGACATTATTTCATTTCATCTCATCTCGTATCATTTCATTTCATTTCTTTTCATTCAGCACAACTGATTAAAGGATTCAGATAAATCAATTTTATTTTATTTCACATTTCTTATTTAACAAATTAATTTAATTGAGGCTGAGATTTAATAAACGCGGGGCTACCAACAATAACATCGCAAAAAACCGGTTGTCATAATGAAAAAGAGAATGAAGAATAATGGAAGTAAAAGTAACCAGCCAGAGACGTGGTTAAATTGTTTTAAAGAAGCAACTATTCCTATAGGCCATGACTGCATAAAACCAATTCTAAGCTAAAGACATAAAAATAAATAGTAATTATTTGAAAACTCGTTGCAGCTACTTTTAATTTAAATGTCGAAACGTTGATTGTAATATGTATTTTTTTTTATTGCTTAGATGGGTGGACGAGCTCATAGTCCACCTGGTGTTAAATGGTCCAGAGCCCATAGACATCTAGAACGTAAATGCCGCCACCCACCTTGAGATATAAGTTATAAGGTTTCAGTATAGTTACAACGGCTGCCCCACCCTTCAAACCGAAACGCATTACTGCTTCACGGCAGAAATAGGCGAGGTGGTGGTACCTACCCGCGCGGACTCACAAGAGGTCCTTCAACCAGTAAAGTTGCAGTAGTATGTAGTATGTAGTTGCATATACGATCAGTTCTACGAAGTTGAAATATTTTGTTTTATCGTAAGCGGGCATGTATTTGCGTGAACTATATAAGGTGCATTCACTCAAATTCATCTCATGTCAGCTCGTTTTAAATAAATTCTCATCTCATAACCAATTTCAGATAAATCAAATTCAATTCATTTCTTCATCGATAGTACACACAAAAACACACAAAAAAGTACGTAAAGAAGGTTTGGCTAAAAGAACAGAATGCAAGCTATCAAACAATTTTAAAAAAGAAGTCGTCATTTTATAAAATATCAGTTCTAATAAACTCTTTTACTACCTACTTAGTTATAAAAACATGAAATGTAATTATATGACCTTTATAAATCAGTTTATCCGCATTCGTGCAAAAAGAGTTGTGAAATTAACTAAATTGACATTTAATGACTACACAAGCGACAACGACTTTGCATTTTATTTACTACAAATTATATACTTTTTTAAACTACATTTAATGAAATAAGAGTACATTTTTGTGCGTGTACACTTAGTTTTTACGTAACAAACATAAATAGAGCGTCTTATTTCATCCAAATAATGTATCTAATTTTATGGGCTAAACGACAAAAAACTAAAAAAATTGATTGTTAAAAAACAAAGTGACGCGTGACGAAAGGTTCACTGAACCCAACTGCAAATGGCGTCAATCGCCAATCGAGCGAGCGTCTTTTTAAATGTTTCCACTAGTTTTTCTGACGTATTTTTGCCTTGTTAAACTTAAAAGTAGTATTGTCAAACTGTAAGATCGACCATAAATGGAATAGTTTACGTTTGAGGGTCAAAAGCCGCTATGAATGAACGCAATGAAGTTCTATTTTATAACAAAACCAATTTAAAGTATTAGCTACTCAAAGTTGAGGTGATATTTTACTTCATAAATAACCTATTTCCTTAGTTCTAATACCGGGTATTGGAACCACACTCGAGTAGGTACCACCACCCTACCTGTTTCTGCAGCAAAGCAATCTGTGGTTCCGATCTTAAACATTTGGACCGCCATTTTGTATACAATACAACTTGATCACTTTACACCAGTTGGATCGTTAGCTCGGTATTTCATCTATGCAATACCTAAAAAAAACATATATTTAATTAATTTATTATCCAATATTTCATTAAATATATTTACATAAATTATTCCTTAACCTACTGTGGAGTTTTCAAAGTCATACCAGCCTAAAAATCGTATTGTTCCAAATTCCAAATCTGTGTTATCAACACATATTGTAATAATTTAAAATAACAATACGGGAATTTATTTTATAAAAGATTTACAAAGGATTTTTTTCACTAGAATGGAATGATTATAAATATTTTCTTTCCTTATATGTGTGTTTTATCTGTCTTCCTTAAAAGTTTACGTTGAACTGTTTGTCTAGATTTCAAATAGATATAGTGAAATTTTTAAATATATATTTGATTAATGTTGTCTTCCTGCTTGTTGCTTGTTCCTTCCCTATTGGCTAGATTTTGAGATAGTGGCTCGTATACTATGATTTTGAAATGTCTCATTGAACAAAATATTTAATTAACTTTGATCATGTATACCTTTTTTTTTTACATAAATGTCGACATAACACTTAGTCTTTTGAGCCACGCTCTCAGCAGCCAGAAAGTTAGTAGTGAATAAATTTCTTGTAGGTTTGCCGTTGAATAAGGGGAGTAGTGATAGAGTTAGGTCGACGACAAGGGGTGGGCGTTCACCATCAGCGCCTTCAGGAAAAATTGGGGCTGATGGGGCCGAGGCCAAGGCTAACGGTGACCTGAGCGCCTCGGACAGAGGCCGCCGCAGCCGGAGCGTCTCTAAAATCGGCATAAAATTGGGTGCGTAAAAAGGTGACTGTAATGTTGCGTCGACGCGCTGTGTTGTTGGAGTATTCAGTGATAGAGCTTTATTAGTTTGGGCTTAAGATTATGGATTGGCGATCTATACAGTACGGCCTAATGTGGCTTCAGTGTCGATGTGTATATTTTTTTTATTATTATTTGCTGTCCCTTTCAATTGTATTGTGTATATATAATATGTTACAGTTGAAGTGGGAGTCATACGATTTCTGAAACAAATCTCTGATTCTCAATGATAGTATCATTCACTAATAAGAGTGATTGTTGCATTGAAGCATAACATATTGATCTAATTATTGAAAGGGACGACAAAATATTGAGAAATTATTATTATGATTATATTTTAAACGAAAAAATTCCTTCCGCACAAACAATTTACGTCTCAAAATCGAAAAATTTTGTTATTGATTTTAATAGGATTTTTTTTTTGGCATCAGTGCGTCTACGCAACGCCAGGTCACACCGCCGGAGCACGCACCGAACATCGCATTTTCGCTACACACGTCCGTGTGATTGTACGTCCGTGCTGTCTGTGTGTCACATTGCACACCGCCCTATAGTTACAAAACGTATATGTGTGTTATTTGCGTAACTGCAATTCTTATGTATTTATATTGTCAATTCATGAAATTTCCGATTAAATCCTAGCATTTGCTGATAAATTTCAATCAATAATAGTATATACATAAATATAAATCAATACTGGATACTAATATAAAAGGCAACAAAGTATATATTATATTTGACACAGCGATCCGATTTAAATATAAAACAAAATTCAATGGTAATAGTGTCGATTTCTTTATATAAATGAATGATATTACAGTTTTCTCTAATGCAATCTGATGACAATGTGCAACAAACATATTGTTAATATGAATGTTTCAGTATTTTTACGTCTGTATTGAAGTCAGCTTCTAATGATCTTATATCGGAAATACATGTGTTTTTAATGTGTATTTTAGTATAGAAATGTGTTCGTTTAGCTAAATGGTATATGTGGTTATCTACATTATGCACACTATTGTTTAAGGCGTTATTACCACGATTTTCACTACTGCGGGTTCGCGATATGTTTCTCGATTTATGTTTTTAAAGTAAAGGTATGTCACGACTAATCATCGAGTTGCAGTGGTAACACCCAGAAATGGATTAAAAAGAGGGTAGAAATTTTTGTAGATGCATTCGCGAAGCAGCTGCCCTTGAGTTGTTAGATCTCCTTCGGAGGCACTCTGGCGGCTGTTAGCTAAACCCACCCCTACTGGCTGTGGCCCATCTGTCCTGGTAAATCTGCGGTAATCCTTCCTTCATAAAAAAGAACCAGTGGAAATATCGCGAACTCATTAAAAGTGAAAATCGTAGTGAGATTCCGTCAAAATATAATAATTTGTGTACTATGTGTCTATGCACGATTACTAGATGTATCTACTTCTTAGAAATTTTAATTTGCATGTGCCGTTAAAGGCTTTTGGTTTTTTCCGGATCTATTTTTTTTTTTTGTTTTTGTTTTAAGCAATTCTTTCCAAGAGACACCGTTATGATCATCCAGGAGCAAAAGTACACTGAATACACGTCCAGAGCATCGTGCCTTACGGTACAGATCTTAGATTGAATCTCATTTTTTAGATGACGAAATACCATCGCACCGCAGCGCTTCGGTCGCTAAAGACCACTTCTTCGACGATTCGCCCGTGGTCAAGTCTCCGCCTGAACCGACCCGGGTCAAATCCCCGGAGCAGATGAACATGCGCTCCCCGGATCCGGTCAACTGGACAGTGCCCCTGGACACCGGCAAAACGTTTACGGTGACGCAAAACGTTAAAAACGGTGAGCCGCGTAAATTTATCGGTAATGTAGGTAGGTTTTAGTTGTGAGTTTTTTTTTTTCGAGTTATACTTTTTCTTAACTGAAACTGATGTTACGAAATTTTTATTGTAATATTTTAAAAAACAAAACATGTCAAACTTCCTTACGTGTAAATATTAAGTAAGGTAATATCAAAATTATACATCTATCCTCCTACTCACCTCTAATGTTTAAAAGCTACCTAATAAAAAAAAGGTAATTAATATTAAAAATTATGTTCTTTGTACTCATGACTTTTTTAGTATAGATAATCTAAGAACCAGAAATATGTGTTAGATTTCTATTTAAAAATTCAACACAAATTCGTAAAATCGGTTTCATGAAACAAGTCCTGTACAATGAGTATCTTATTCAATAGCCGGTTCATTTTTTTCTTACTTATATAAAACGGGTCATTTGATGACCGCTATATCAACATAAGAATGAGATACTCCTTTAAAATACCACTAAACCCAAGATTTGTGAATTGTAAAGCAGTAAATAGGATAGATAGAGCTAAACAAGCCGTCACACCGTCATGCCACTGACACTTGACTCATTAAAACTCATGAGACATGTTTTCTTTGAGACACCCCACAATAGTGTAACGGAGCGTAGAGCTTGCAACACTGACACGAACACGGATTTGTCATGTGCATTGTTAGTTACAGAAATAATACTCGTGACTACGCATTGAGATTTTGAATCATACTTTTTTTTAACATTCGTTTTCATATTTTTGTGAGATTTATTTTTACATTGTCCCGTTTAAAAAATCTCTGTCTACTGAAATATTTGAATTTTGAAAACGTCAAATGTCAAAAATACAATTTCTGAACGTTTCCGTAGACATAGAACGTAATTCATCGCACCACGACGCCACAGATCATACAAACGCTCACCATATTTCAGATGAGAGCATTAAGCGCCCTAGCTCTGAGTTTAAGAGTGGCTCCATAGCCGAAGAGGGTGTCATCGTGAAGCCGGCAGGTACGACGAACACAGCCACCGCCTAGACCATCGGCCATACACTATCAGTGTGACATAGCGTCATGGGACAGCGACCTCTATAAGGAAACTCTTATAAAGATCGCTTCCACATAAGCACGACACACGACCCGACACGGAAAAAAAATTATATAATCTGTTTTTATATTATTATAATTATTGACTAGTTCATGATTAAATTGTGTTAATCAATTAACTAAAAGATGCTTTTATTTATTTTGTCCGTACTCTGCTGAAGCGACGACCACGTATGTATACACTTGTCTGTGTGTGTCTGTTTCGATGTTTGCATACACTATCACTGTGCGCACTTTGATTCTTATCGTTTCTATTCATGTCATTTACGATCGTTCACAATGCATGATGTCTTCTAACGCAAAATGGGGTGCTATTTGAAAAGTTTTCACTGTGTTCTAATAGTAATAAAACTCTTCTGTGGTGGACTATTTCTGGGAATGCCTTAAATGATAATTCGGTGACTAATAAACTCTGGTTCCTTAGAGAAATTGTGCCGTAACTTAGTTATTTATCAAACCATAGAAAACAGATAAACTCGTCACACATATTTGCATTGTTGATTGGATTCACTAAGCTCCGATACCGTTTGCTGATAATCTAAGTTCTGTCGCTGGCGCTTAGTTTTTTGGCGTCCGAAAAAATATTTTAGTTTGACGATGCGATATATCTTCGCTCTGCTATGAGTCCAAGCGGGGAGACTGAGTGGTTTGTTGATTGGTAGGATTTTATTGAAACTATACAAGTAGCTTGGTTAAGTTCTATGTGAGTCGTATTCAGCCGGCCAAACGTTGTGGTGCCCAACCAAAACAGCAGAGCAAGAACCTGTAAATTTTGGGTTGTATTGCTCACTATATAGACAGATGCTGCTAGTCCTTCTAGTCTTAACTGCTTAATGGAATCCATGAACATCATAAATACCACTGCCCCCTTGAAAAATTAATGTCAACTATAAAACAGCTATCCTAGTTGTCGAAATGCTCGAATCACTTCGCAGTACAAATACGTACAGTACCCGACTTTAAATGTTACACTTCGACATTTAGAAAGAGACAGTGGACTAACTTCGGTTTTGTAGAGCGCTATCTCTGTCGCACTCCACCTATCGAGCGTTACTTATGTCGCAAACGTCACATGCTGTTGCTGCGGTACTGTAGAATGGCATCGTTCTTCCATGCGAAGATACTATGTGATATGTCACCAGTATATTTAGAATTTTTATATTTTCCAATAATTATAAAAAGCTACTCTGTGAAAGAGGAGAAAGGGGAGAATAGAGGATATCGTACGATAGACTTGGTGCGCCGAACCCACATAATGAGATGAAGGACAAGAAGAAAATCTTTAATAAATCAGATAATAGTAAAATGCTTTGGATAGCAAACAGCAATGATTTCAAATTAATTTGGATTAGTATGGCATCTAATTAATTGTCTGCTTAACGTACAGAACTGCTCGTTCGATTGGCAATCTCATCGTGGAAACAAATTATAATTATCGGTCAGGGAAAGTCTTTTTTTGAGTCTAACTATACTGAGACCTTAGAACTTATATCTCAAGGTGGGTGGCGCATTTACTTTGTAGATGTTTATAGGCTCCAGTAACCACTTAACATCAGGTGGACTGTGAGCCCGTCCATCCATCTAAGCAAGACTATTCACCATCATGGCGATATTGCCATATCAACCTTGATTAACGTTGTCATTATCAAGACCTTTATTCACCCCGCCCCCTCCTCCTGGCTCCTTTGCTCGCCCACCTGTCCTGGCGAAACTGGAAAGGCCTCCGGGCCACAAGTAATCCATCAATCATAAAAAACCTTACCTCTATCATAATTTTCGCAATGTCAACGGCAGTAACTAGCCCTAAATAAATAAAATAATAATAATAATTCTGTAGCGCATTAGTGACAAGCGAATTGATACCTGAGCGATTTTTGTGGGGAAGGCTATATCTGGCAGTGAACGTCTGTAGCTGAAAAATCATATAACTGATTTCGTTCGACTATAAGTCACGGCACCACTTCTCTGGGAAAGCAGTGCGTTACCTAAAGTTGATGTTTATTGAACAATCAAATTGATTTCAGTATTTCCTAACAACCCTCATTTGTAATTAATTGTTCATAGGTATAGCGTTGTTAAGTTAAAAATTAATAATTAAAACAAAGGGGTAAATTAATAAACTAATAATAAATTTTACGGACTTCCACGTTCATCCATTTGTTCTAATAAAGTCGCTTGCATGATAAATGTGTTAGAAAATTTCCGACTTCTTAGGTAAGAGTTCAGCATGAGAAATGGAAGGAACTGCTTAGAAAATTCGTTTAGAGGTGGCTTGTGATAGAAAAACGAAACTAGAATCACTACTGTCTGTTAAGTTATCAATGAAAAGTTCATAGTTTAGATAATTTTTTATCATGTTTTTGGTCTGGAACTGATAATATTTTCATGTATTTAGTGATCAATTACTTGTTTAAAGACTTATCTTTTAGAAAGTGATAAAGGAATTCTATGACTATTGCAGAATAGGTCTTTCATTGAGTTAGGCAATAGGCAGTTTAATTTACCGATAGGCAGCGGCTTGGCTCTGTCCATTGTGGAAGCCATCGGGTCGTATGCTCGTCTGCCTACGAGGGCAATCAAAATAAAACTTTGTATTTCCCCGAAGCTTAACCAAAGTAGTCCAATACAACAATCATAGGCTTTCTGCTATAGATTGGCATAATTAGAAGCAGTTAGCAGAATAAATGTGCTTTAAATGTTACACGGGAGTTTCAAATAGAAAGATTCATATTAACAACAACGGTCGCATTACAATGTCGCTAATATATGGAACATATATACATATATATATCAAAATTTCAATTTTATATGAAACTCCTTGAACATTCAAATCGTTAGGAATATAAAAGTTACGAACTGTCAATGATGTTACAGAAATCGCTCCGATCTATCACCAGCAGATGTCTCCGATACGATCGTTGAAGTTGAAAAGTGAGTCGCCGACTAGCCTTAGCAAACGCACCGATAAGACCCCAACCACACCCGTCAGCCTCACTCCCATTGACGAAACCAAGACCCTAGACATGAACAAGGTCAACGGCTTCAATGGGATAACAAGCAACGAACTGACCCCCGAGACTCCAACGCAAGAGCCAATTAAAGAGAAAGAAGTGATTAAGAAACCTACTGAGGCAACTCAGGTAGCGCCGGGAGTGGTCGACACCACCGTTGTGAATGAAGCACCAACTGCAGGAGGAGGTCTTACTGCTGCAGAGGTGTTAGAGCGCGCTCGCACAAGGTTCGACAAATTCTGGGGCAAAAAAGAGGAAGACAATGTTTAGTCAGGATTATAGAATAACTTTCAACTGTAAATGAATATGTTTTGGCTTTGGTGTTATTATTATTACAAACTACATTATAAAACATAAAAGTATTTTACGAATTTAGCAAAAGTTGTACGACAATTCATTCTGTAATAATACTGCAAAGGTAAAACATATGTATTTACAGTTACAAAGTACAAGGAAAGTAGGAAAATTTAAATTGCAGTGTTTATAACCTGAAACATGAAAAGCTTCGCTTTTAAACGACTACCGTATTTCTATGTATATTTATTTGTAATTTATTATTGTGACGATCACTGTCTATATGATAGGAGTGTGGTGGCTTGTGATAGTAGAAAGTCGAAAATCATAATATAGCCGTGTAGTTTGGTGTTGATATATCTTAATTTTAAAGTTGCCAACAATAATTATTCCTAAACGAGATTAATTTATTTTTGTCTTCAATCGTTTAGTTTATCGTATCAGTTTGTATACCTGTAGTCTGTGTTGCCACTCACCATATTTAACTTAAGCAGAATGTTTACGTTTTTGTTATGTTAACAGTACCTAAGGTTATTATGTAATAGTGTTATGGATTTAGCATCCGAAAATTATAGTAACTTAATCTACATATTATAATATTAATGTGTGGATATGATTTTAAGCTTACGAGATGTAGCCCCAATTTCACAGATGCTGCTAAGATATTTTTTTTCATTATAGCAAATGATTCCAAACAATTTACGTTGTAAGTCCAGCAACAGAAACTGTTCATAAAACTAAAAAACGTAATCCGACTAAAAATACCTTATGTAATTGTACTAATGGCAAGCTGCAAAGTATACATAAAATAATGAAAAGCCGTCCAACGTAGATTTTTACGACGGAGTTATTTTTAATTTAGCAAACACATATTTAATACTTAAACTTTGGCCAATTCAAAATTTAAAAAAATCGAACGCTGTTGACCAATCACATTGCGGTTGTTAAGCCTTCAATAAATGTCATTTTTGGCGCCAAAGTAAATCTGAAAACAGTGATTCATAGATTGTTTAGTGTTAAATTAAACATGGAGTTATCATTCAAATCATGCCGTTTATGTCTATCCGAGACCGAATTTAACGTTTCATTATACGGAAATTACTGTCGCAGAACTAACATGGTGGAAAAAATTTTGGTTTGTTTGAAAATAGTCATCGAGGAAACAGATTCGTTTAATACGATCTGTTACAAATGCGCCGAAAATGTTGAAAGATACTACAATTACATTATGTTCGTTAAAAAATCGCAAACAAAGCTAGTACCATCACAACAAGTCGACAATCCTTCGATAAAACGCCATCACATAACCTCTTACGTTCGTGAACAAGTCATAGATGCTGATTATACTTTTTCATTCCTTGAAACAAACAACGAAGAAAAAAAATACAAAAACAACGCTTCTAGTCCGTTTTTCTCTTATTTTTCGCCGCCAAATACTGTGAAGAGAGCCAATGAGCACGTCTGGAAGCAGCCTCAAATAAAAGAAGACAGTGACGAAATACGCATACGGAGGCAACGTAAGCCAGATAAAGTTCGACACCATTCTAGTGATCTATTCGAATCGCAATCACAAGACAATGAAGAGGACCCTAGAACCTTCGATTGGAAGTTAACTCCGGACGATAACTTAATAAAACGAATCAGGGAAAAATGCTTCAAACGATCTGACTTTTAATAAAATAAATTGTTGTTTTCGTTTCCATTAAACTTTGATTAGTTTACTTGTTCGTTTTACGTATTATATTTTGGAAACTTTTATGTTTGTTGTCGTGTAAACTAAATTTTGATTTTGTTCTTGTCTTGATTGAATTTAAACTTCAATATCAACCCGTGTACATATTAATATCTACACGTTACACAGGAGATACACTCGATGTCTTGTACAGAGTTTTGAACAATATATGTTGTGATAGAAGCTGTTTTTTCAATTCGGAAATGACAAGATTTGACTGTATAATTAATTTGTTATGGATTCTTTAAGGTTAGCTTGTGATTTTTTTCGCCACTTAACCCAATTTTGAGTACTAGTAATCGAATTACATAACTACTGTTGTTGAAGATCGGTCCAGATAGCGTGTCTATCTACTTCCTAGTTCAATAAATAATTAAGTCGACCTTGAATACACCTTGATATTTAGACATGTAAATTTACCTAAATAAATTTGGAAATTGTCAAGATATAAGTACTTAATATGATTTTGGGATTCTGTAGACAGGGTAATTAGATGAAAAACTCTTTGAAGTAGAATATGATATTCGAAATACCTAAGTACCTTTTTTTTTCTTCGGTTTTTTTTGTGTAATAAATGTTAGAAAGTATTTCTCAATTTCAATGTTGTGTTTTTTTTGAATTAAATGTTCACCGTAATGTTATTCTGATAAAATTCATTGGCTTAAACTCTTAAAAAATTTAATTCGAACATATTAATGTGTCTGCAGTGGTTGATACCTACATTGTCGAGATATAGTTTTTTTTTTATGATTGAAGGATTACTGGTGGCCCGGAGGCCTTTCCAGTTTCACCAGGACAGGTGAGCGAGCAAAGGCTCAGCCAGGAGGGGTGGGATTTGCTAACAGCTACCCGAGTGCCTCCATTTAGAAATATATCGATCTAAACTAAAATTATTAATTTTTTTTTAAAAACTCCATAGAAGTTTAGAACAAACTGTTCTCGTGTTAATAATTTTCATGCAGTCAAATGATCCGTTATGTATTCCACCACCACCTTCAACATCTGCGTGTTGAGATTGGTCACATAGAAGCAGTTCCACCAAATCATAATTAAAATCTTTCAGTTCAATAACAATGAAACGAGAGTTTTAGTTTAATACTAGAGAGAGAACGCACTATATTTAATGACGTCATATTACAAACACCCTAGAAAGTCTATAGAAACTGGCTTTAATTGTGAACGCGGGCGGTAATCCTTCATTAATAAAAAAAAACACCGTGGGCTACTAACCTCTTTATTTATGAACAAACTTCAAAAAAGGGGGGAGGTTATCAATTGGAATGCATTTTTAATGCATTTACTTTGGTTTGGACAAACCGACTTTGGTAATTCTTTTTTATTGGAAAGCTCGCTCGAATCTTACTCAATATGTGATCGGTACTGTTTGAGTTATCCTTAATAATGCTTATTCAATTGACTTCGCCTGCTTTCCTTACACGTAACACACCCAGCCGAGTATTAACAACGACAGACACAGTAATATGATCAAATCATTTAAATGTACCATATATATATCTTTCATTCAAGTTCCTCTTATTATTTTCTGCGCACAAAAACAAGCAGGCCCTGTCCACTGTAGCGTAGAGAAACGATAGGTAACAAAATGTATCTAAAATAAATTTTTAGCTTTGCTACGGATTTGTACTAGCGTTCTCCGTTTTCAGTTGTTATCGAAATGGACACTAAATAAACATTGGAAAATATTTTGTTGTTTCAATATCTGTATTCGACTTTACGATGGCACAGGCAAAATGTGCGGTGATGGCTCTTAAATTCAAATCATTAGCTCAAAGACCTTACATGATACAAGTCTGTTTATAAAATACGATTATATATTTTTGTCTTTTCGTATCGTGCGTTCGTAACGCCGCCGCCCCCTCAAGGAGCTCTCCCACCCGTGACGCGTGACTACTTCGCATCAGAAACGGGCATGATCATCCCTACCTACAGACACGCAATACGCTCTACTGACAATAGTAACCTTTCCTATCCAACTACCCTCTATTTTCTATTTTGAATACCATTGGCAGGTCGTCACGCANATATTTTTGTCTTTTCGTATCGTGCGTTCGTAACGCCGCCGCCCCCTCAAGGAGCTCTCCCACCCGTGACGCGTGACTACTTCGCATCAGAAACGGGCATGATCATCCCTACCTACAGACACGCAATACGCTCTACTGACAATAGTAACCTTTCCTATCCAACTACCCTCTATTTTCTATTTTGAATACCATTGGCAGGTCGTCACGCAGGCTGGCTCAAATAAGTAGTCGTAGTGTAATATCAATGTTTCACATCTGCCAGCTTTCCCGCTACGGCTCATATTTTTTTCATTGTTCTTTTATTGTTTATATTCAAGTTATTCGTCATCCGTAAACACAAAGCTAGAAAAAAAAACGAAATGTTGCAAATAATAATAATTATTAGAATAAAAAACACTAGACTTAACAGTTAAAGTAGTTTTGATAACTTATATTTATATATTACATTCGATCTGATTCAAAAATTAATTTGTGTTAAATGGCAGATAAAACAAAATAAATATACATATATTTATTTACACTTATATATCTTGAGCATGATCGCAAGCAGGCTGGACTGTGTATACATGGGTCGCTGTGGTGCCATCTCCCATGGGATGTTACGACAGTAATTTATTGTGATGTAAATATAACTATGTACTAACATAGGTCTAAGTCTTATTAACAATTTATATGAGTCATGGTTACTTGTAATAAAAACATTATTATTATTATTATTATTATTAATTATGATTAGTACAGAAAATGCGAAACTAATACATACGAATAACAAATAAAACCATGAGTAACATTTCATCAATGAGTTTATTCAAATCGAAAAAATATTTTAAATTTATTCTAGAGAAAATAATTCCCCTGCACTATACATTACTAATTAATTTAATTAATAATAAATGACATTGAACATTTAATACGATATTATTTTTTTCTATAATACAGCAGTACTATTAAAAATGGCTTCCTAATTATTGATAAAAAAAAAGTGCTTTAGTTACTAAAACTCTATTTAAAATACAAATATTAGTCACAGCTGACAAGCAACTATTAGTTTGGTTGTGTTTCAATCGCAATGCTCGATTTTGTTTATGTACAAGATAAAAATAAAACAATGAATTTCAGAAATAATACGCATTGTTCTTTGTTCCAATGATTATTTCAATAAAATATAATCCACGTATTGTTATTTTATCTATTCATTTTACCGAACATATTGTAAACATAACTATTGTATTATAAGAAATTCCATAAATTAAAAATCCATGTGTCAAAAGTTTATTTCCATTGATTCAGTTTGTTTATAATCTTTTTTATACACTGGCAACATCCGAGATTAATATAAAATGATGGGAACACAGTGATTTCAATTTAAATAATGTGAAATGAAGTGATGAAGAAACAGAAATACTGATTTGGCTTAAAGGACTTTGTTTCCAAGCCAGTAAAATGTATTAAAAAAAATTATAACAATAATAGGATTAATATCACGCCTGTTATTATATGACGAAAAACTTAATACATTCTTACGTATGTGGCGGGTAGCCATCATACAACGCAAGATATTTGACAGATGCCTGAATCTCGCTTACGACATTTTCAAAGATAAAGCGCATATATACAAGTTCCGAACAACAACATTCGGACCGTCGGTCTACCGAGCAATATCACCCGCTCGGTGGAAGATCTTCCCTTTGTCGTATATTTCTACACGTAAATACGACAAGAAAAATTGCATAATATTAATAAAGATAACATTATGAAACCGTAAAACCGAAAAAAAAATCATTTATAATGTGTCTTCGATCCGTGAATATGTAAACACATTTTACACATACATATATTGACGATTACAACACAACCAAAACTAATTACATCGAATGGAAAAATCCTAATGAAATCAAAAACCAAGCCTGTGGTCCGGAAACAATTTTGTATGGAGCATTAATATTAAAGCGTTATCGCTGTTATGTATTGCATCGCGAAAAACACCATCATGGAAATTATATAATGCAATACAAAAAAATCTCATTTATTTATCTATCAAAACGAACCTTTTATTCCGAAAAAAGGGGCCATTGATAATTAATTGTATTCTTAAATTTAATAAATTAGAGTATTTGACTGCGTATGTTATTCTTAGCCCACTGAGTTTCTCGCCGGATCTTCTCAGTGGGTCGCGATTCCGATTCGGTGGTAGATTCTACCAAGCACTGTTCTTGCTGGGGTTAGTGTTAGCAAATTCTTTCAGGTCGAGCCCCTGACCTCATCTACCCGGATGTAGCTGATAACCTCTTAGGCTACCAGTGAATACGTAGGATAAAAAAAACTTATTCTCGCGCGATAATTTCTAACTCACGTGACCTCGGTGAAGTGACATTACGTAATAAGGTATTTTTGAATACTTACATAAATACGTCGCGATCCGCATTGTTTGCCCGCGCGTGACGTCACAAGCGAGTGCACCACGCGAGTGTTGCCACTTGACCGAGCCTATGATTTTCATTTGAAAATTGAAACACGACAAACAAAATCTACATACTGATTACAAGCTTGCGTAATTTCAATGATACCTTAGAAATATACAGTTTTTGATTTAAAAAATATATATATTTGCAGTCAAATACCCTACTGCAAGAACTATATTACACAGATTATCTTCGAATAATTGCTTCGCACGAATCACAGATAATCATACGAGTATTCAAACGGACATTTCGGAGAAAAAAAAAACACAATCAGCAAATCAGCTTCAATTCCTTTTAAAAATATTTTTTGTTTAAAACAACACCAACAACAAGAATGCGTGTACTAAAATTGTTGTAATATTCTTAATTGCTTATATATTCTTGCTAATTATGCAAGACAGAACAAGCAAAAGTTAATGCAATAAGTGAATTAAAAAAAAAAATGGAATGTACTATGTATTGAAATATATAGTGAAGTTTTATTTATTTTTTTAAATGACCAGGCGACCAATTTAGAAATTGATTTTGTAAAATCCGAACAAATTTTTATTCATCAAATAAATTATAACATTTGCTGAATATGAACAGTGGAATAGTTATATCTCAACAAGCTTGGCTAATGAAACGGACTGCTAAGGCAACAGTGGAGGAATGGAAAAAGTGTTCACAAAAATACAAAAAAATTGTCAACTGTTATGTTATATTTTATTCAATGAATAAATTTAATTTCACAAACAGCTATAATTGTACTTAAAATCTTTTAAAGAGTAAAAATTAATTATAATTAAAAAACAAAAATCAAGAAAAAAATCATCCGACAATGTGATGAATAAATGAAATTCAAAATTACATACAAACACACACACAGTCAACACTCACACACCCACACACACACACACATGTAAAACTTTTATTAAACAAATACAAATCAAAAATAAAGGAAGACGCTATATTGAACCTCCTAAAACGTATTTATATTGATTTTTTTAGTCCTCTAAGGCTACCAGCATTGGTAGTGAAAAAAAGAAGATCGACTTTAAAATACGATCTCTTGAACATCGATTCTTTCAAGTTCATACCGACGCTTGAAAGGCAAACGTGACTAAGCGACAATAACTGCTTTGTACGTAAATGATAGGCAATAACCATATTCGATGTGCAAAAAATATATATTTCTAGGTCTATTAAAATAATTTCAATCCTACAGCTACTAGCTAGATTCTACTACAGCTAGATTCGTTAAAATAAATTTTGTTTTCAGGTATTTCAACTTTAAATCAGTCTACTGTAAAGCTCACGCATTGTCGCTTAGTCACGTTTGCCTTTCAAGCGTCGATGCGTAAATTTGACTTCTACTGATCATCTTTTGCAACCTCGAACACCCAGTACCCAGTTCCTATGAAATTTCCCGAAGACTTTAATGTTTCTCTATTACAAAAGCGTTTACTACTTGAAATGGCCAACTAAATTTCTGGAGGACCGACCCGTCTGGTCACGTTTGAGTATTAATGTAAGTAACTATACTGAGACCTTAGAACTTATATCTCAAGGTGGGTGGCACATTTACCCGCAAAATTATAATTTGCGTAAATACTGGTGGTAGGACCTCTTGTGAGTCCGCACGGGTAGGTACCACCACCCTGCGCATTTCTGCCGTGAAGCAGTAATGCGTTTCGGTTTGAAGGGTGGGGCAGCCGTTGTAACTAATTCAAGGTGGGTGGCGCATTTACCTCATAGTTGTCTATGGGCTCCAGTAACCACTTAACACCAGGTAGGCTGTGAGCTCGTCCACCCTAAAGACCCATATAAGCAATTAAAAAAAAAGATAGTGCATCTGTAGAGATCGTAGGACATTAATAAAAAGAAATTACAATTCGCTCAGGCGTTTGAACTCCCACGTCTCCAGTCTCATCTGACCGACCTCAAAGTCATTAAAACGGGACCCAAATATATCTACGAGTGAAGTGAGCTATTCGGTTTAAGTGACATTTCGCTTAATATACGACATTGTCTTTGTTTTTTTTTTTTATTGCCCTTGCAGACGAGCATACGGCCCACCTGATGGTGAATGGTTACCGTCGCCCATGGACATCAGCAATGCCAAGCCGCTGCCTACCGAACTACCTTTGTGTATTTAAAGGTCCGTTTTATTTGGTTTTCGTATCAACAATTCGATATTTTTTAATTGAACTTCAATTAAGTTTAATCACATTCAAATACCTGAAGAATTTTTCTTTGTTATGAAATATTTTTTCCAAATTTTAAATTTTAAATGGCTCCATTCTAAAGTTGCAAAAATGTCACTTAAGCCATTTTCTTCCAAAGCTTTCGACCCTCGATATTAAGATTACAAGACGGGCTGATGTTTATGAAGCAAAGGTTCGCAAGTATGGCACTGAATCAAACAAACAAAAAAACATACAAAATGTAACGTGTAGATAAAAATCATTCTCTCAAACATGTAACACACTAATGAAGTTTATCAAACGAAATATAACGCGGCAATTATGTACCTAAACGCTATAGAAATACGGCTTTTTTTCGTTTAGTTTTTTTGTTTTTGTTAAATGAATTTAAAAATGAAAACTTTATATTTATATCACAATTTAGCTGAAGAAAGCGAAGTTTTGTTTTTAAAACTAATCCTAAAACGTTGCTTGCATTTAAAATTAAAAATAATCTATCGAGTTATTCTAGACTGAAAAAAAAATTGATTACACTTAGGGCTGCATTTTCGATCATCCAACTTATAAATATACGGAATTATATGTTGTACTAGAAACTATTTAATTGTTTGATTCCTTCAATAAGTTGTAATTCATTATTAGTTTACATTTTAATCCTATATTCTTGCCTCTCTATAACTGATAAAATTTATTATTTAGAATGACAGAGAAATACATCTTTTTAACGTTCTAAAGTAGACAGAGTTATAACTAACGCTATTTGTTAATTAAAAAAGAATATTTTATTTTATATCAAAATTAATAAGTAAGTAACCTAAAAATACTATTCCTAATTCTAAGACCCAAAAAACAAATTACGACAATGTAAAAAAACAATTCTTAAAAATTGCAATTCTTTTTGCTTTCAATACTGTCATTATGACAGTGACGTTACATGTCAAACGTCATTCGTGTGCAAGATAATAGTGATGCGGGTGACAGATGTGGCTGGAGGGAGACGAGACCAGTGTCGTCAAATAAAAAAAAATCTTTTTTTTTTCTTTCTTGACACTATTGTCCAATCTGTGTTTGATGAATTCTCATAGTTTTGGGTGATCACCTAAGCCGCTTTGCTCTGAAGCTAGGTCCTACCCTACCGACAGGGTTTTGGGAAATTAGTCATAATACCAAACGCATTTGACATGTTCTATTTGAACCTTTCAACAAATCGAAGATGCAGTAATGAGATTTTTCTATTGACTTCACTTCTGAGACGTTAAGATATTTCGGATTATCAAACTTTTTTTTTTAAATTAAAAACAGCCATACATATGTCTTATCAATGTTCCGTGTCAAAACATTTACACAGATAACAGTTAATGGAAAACTTAAAAGAAAAAATAATAATGTAATTGTTTTTCTGACGTTACACTGTTTGTTATCAACTTCTAAATCGTGAAATCGGATCTAGTCAATTCATTTTGATCGTACAATTTACGACGCCGCCTTATAAAAATACTGTATTACCAAAAAAAATAATCGAAAAAATCCTTCGCGAAATTTCTATTACCCAATCAACAACAAAGAAAATTTTGATACGTAAAAAACTTTTAGTTCCCTAATAATGACGATAATAAAAACTAGAAACAGTCTAAACGGAAGCTTACAGCGTTAATAACTAATTACATACTTTTAATTAATTATATTTACGAAATACACAACATCAATAATGGACATAGAGAAAGAGGCCTTTTAAAAACATTGCCCAATCAATCAGCAAACGGTTATGAAGATTTTAAAATCAGCATTAACACACATTTAATTAATATTATTATTATTATTAATTATTAATATAAAAGACGAATTTCAATCAAAATATACAACAATTCATCGCCACCATCTTCCCTAGTTTAATCATGTATGCCTCTTTCGCGCTAATTTGAACACACACATATTTATACAAAATCGAACCGTACGGCTTTAGAAATAAGTTGTATTTATCGTTGGCATTGTTTTTATTTAAATATTTTACGTAGATTATCACAAATACACAACAATAATAGTACAAAAAACAAGAGTTTAAGGAATCAAAACGTGAAACAAACTTTCAGATCATAGGATTGTCGATTAAATATATTAAATAAAAAATCAATAGACTACAGGGCATTTTTATTAACTTACAAAGGATCTTGGACATCCGCCAATCTAGAATAAGCCACTCCATTAATTTTTTGTTCCGATATTTTTAAATTATAATTTACGTTCGAATTCGACGCTGACTCTACGGTTTTTTGTTCCCGTTTTTTTATTTTTTGTTGACAGAATATAAATCTTTTATAACATTTTTTGATCCGATTAGTTTGAAAGTCTCTACGAGATACAATATTGACACTAACTTTGGCATGTCAATATCAACCTACGATATGTCACGTGCGACTCGTGTTCCACAAATGTCTTTGCCTCATATTTCAAAAGAATTAAAAAACATATGTTTTAGAAAACCAGTGTACTTATTTATGGCTTTACCTTCAAACTTCTAAAGCCGTAACGGTTAAGCGAGATCGAAGCCTAAAGCGTTCGCCATAAGGGTGATTATTGTCTTGTCTATTTCTCTCCTGACGAGGAGCTGGAGGCGCGGCCGCGGTTCTTGCGTTTCTTGTCCTCTGGTTCTCTTTCCGTCGGCGGCGCCGGCTCCGGCGGCCTGGGCTGGCCCGGCGTACTGCCGCCCTGACACAACACGGTTACCACAAAAAATTATATATGTAGAATAGGGATCGCAGCGCATAAAATAAAACTGTTATAATAATAATTTAAAAAATAATTAACACTTTTATTACGCCTTGCTCATTTTTTTAACCGTCTTCGCCATCTTCCTTTTCTCTCTGTCATTCTGTCTGTCATTCTCTTCTTCCCTTTCTTACCGTTTTCTCTCACTCACATCTTAACGCTCCGTTCCACACTCTTTTCATACGTTCCGTTCTTACCAATCCTACATATTATATGTAGTTATAAAAACAAACACACTTAAACAGCAGACAGTAGAAGTAAAAACAGGCAGCGGCTTGGCTCTGCCCCTGGCGTTGCTGACGTCCATGGGCGACGGTAACCGCTTATCATCAGGTGGGTCGTATGCTCGTCTGCTTACAAGGACTTTTCCTGAAGGCGAATGGCGGCATCGTTGATGTCCGTGGGCTCACCTGCGTGCTCACCTTTCTTTTGGCGTGCTTATCGTGCTTCTTGGAGAGGCGATGCTCGTCGTCGTCCCGGTCCTTAGTGGAGCGCCGCCCCATCACGCCCAGCAGCTTACTGACGACGCTTTTGCTGCGAGCTTCCGTGTTCTCGACCGCTTCTGGCGACTGAATGAGAAACGCGACTTTGAGATTTTAGTTAGTTCTCCCACAATCGGCTTTTTTTATTGCTTAAATGGGTGGACGAGCTCACAGCCCACCTGATGTTAAGTGGTTACTGGAGCCCCTAGACATCTACAACGTAAACGCGCCACCAACCTTGAGATATAAGGTCTAAGGTCTTAGTATAGTTACAACGGCTGCTCCACCGTTCAAACGGAAACGCATTACTGCTTTACGGCAGAAATAGGCGGGGTGGTGGCACCTACCCGCGCGGACTCACAAGAGGTCCTACCACCAGTAAAAACGTGCAGCCGTTGCGTCGGTACGGTGGCTTGGTACCACTATAAGCGAAGTAGCCACACGTTCCTGTCTGGTGTACAGGAAAACCATTGGCACGCATCTGCTACTGCGATCTTAAGTACCAGGCTCTGAGTTATCCGCTTGTGGATGTATTTGCACAGCACGCAATGGAACGCAAAGAAAACCTTTTTAACGTTTATACTTAATATTGTAAGTGAACTCGTCGAGGCCTAAAGCATCAGGTCCCTGAGTATGCTCGTATCAAGCAAGGCGACTGTGATAATGTTAAATCCCCACATGCAGGTATTCAGAGTCCGCATGAGAATCTTATGCCCTAGTGCATATTTCATATACTATGAGTTCCAACTTCAAGGGTGGGAAAGCAGGTTTAGAGTACGACACAGACTCTGACCTCATGAATCTCAGGCAACCCTCTTCGAACACCCTGTATACAAGACCGTTACGCGTTTTTTTTTTCCTACCAAATCTAGTAGCCTCGAGGGGTTATTCTAGATTTAACGAACTAGTAGGAGAGCTCACGGGGCTCAAGCCTCACGTTGTTGCTAACACGAACCCTAGCAAGAGCCGTGCTTCGCAGAATCTACCACCGGATCGGAAACGCGACCCACTGAGAAGATCCGGCGAGAAACTCAGTGGGCTGTGTCTGGGGGTTAGTTTACTCGCCGAGCCCTTCGTCGCAAGCGACGGGTTCGACGAGGACGATGACCGGTGCTTGAGGTACCTAAAAGCACCGCTAGTGGATCGGGAGGATCCGAAATGACATGCGTTACGCGTTACTCTGAGCTCAAGATCACTCGCAGTAACAACACTGGTCTCACCTTATTTAGTTCGACAGATTCCTGTCTCTTCAGTCCCTCCATCTTCTTCAGGGACTCTGTCCTCTTCGGCTCTTGTTTATCTTGTTTCTTCTCCGCCTTCTCCGCCTTTTTCATATCCTTCTCAACCTTCTTTACCGAGCCGGCTCGTTCCATTGGCTGATTGGGAAAATTCTTGTGATAAGATTAAGCGGTAATTCAGTCAGCGACGTATAGTGCGCTTCAATGTATATCAAAATAGAATATACGAGTGTTGCACATTTAAAAAAAAGCGCTATTTTTAAAACGTTTTATTCGCATTATTTACGCTCCATCATGCTAGTACAGCTAAATGAAAAGATAATTTCATAAAAAATACATGACTTTAAAAAAACCCAGCAATGAAAGCAAAAACAGCTGATGCTCGGGTCAAGGAACGCCCGGGCGCGGTGTTTCTTTTACAAATTTTTCGTTTTCGGAAGCGGTCTCCTAACACCCAGTATATAGTCGTGGGTCGAATTTAGAAACGCGCGTTGAAAAGACTCGACACTTTGGATGCCAACGACAAAGGGAAGATATTCAGCCGGGCGGGAGTCGAGAGCCGTCGAGGCCTTTTTTTATGAAGGTAGATTTACTGGTGGCCTGGTGACCTTTCAAGTTCCACCAGGGTAGGCGAGCACGAGCTCAGCTAGGAGGGGTGGGATTTGCGGCCCGAATGTTATTGCTCAATACTTGTATATGTGCAAGCTTATCTTGAAAATATCGTCAGCGAGATTCAGAAATCTATCAAATATTTCGTGTTTCATGATAGCTATTCCAGTACTAAAGCCAACTTTATTTCCGATAGCGTTCTCTTTCACACAACCGACAGACGGATAGAAGTGAAATGAGAGGAAAGATCGTTGGTGACGCATCACAATTTCAACCACTCGCTACAAAGATATAAATGTACTAGATATGTTTTCTATCGATATTTTTTTCATACCTTGTCAACTTTTTTTTCTTCCGCTTTGGGTTCATCCTTGACTTCGATCTTCTTCAAGGAATCTTGTTTCTTGAGTTCCGTTTTTTTGTTTTTCGTTTTAAACTCTTCCTCCTTAAGACTCGAGTCAGACTTCTTCCGAACTTTGGGCTGCTCGATAACTGGAGGTTCTACTTTTGGTGGTTTCTCGTCGGCGACGCTCGGCTCCGTGCTCGTCCTGGACTCGTCTGATGATGGAGAGGATGATGTCGCCGGATTATTAAAGAGAAAAAACTGTTCGTAGGACCTCTTGTGAGTTCGCGCGGGTAGATACCACCACCCTGCCTATTTCTGTCGTGAAGCAGTAATGCGTTTCGGTTTGAAGGGTGGGACAGCCGTTTTAACTATACTCGAGATCTTAGAACTTATATCTCAAGGTGGGTGGCGCATTTACGTCGTAGATGCTTATGGGCTCCAGTAACCACTTAATACCAGGTGGGCTATGAGTTCGCCCACCCATCTAAGCAATAAAAAATAAATAAAAAGCTATATGCATGCTCACCCATTAATTCAAATACATATAAAAACAAAACTGAATTCTACTCAAGAGTACTTAATGGTAGGAAGCGGTTTCGCTCTGCCCCTTGCATTGCTGAGGTCCAAAAACGATGGTTACCAAAAAAAAAAAAAATGCGTTCATTTCTATTTGAAGTTTCAAACAGACTAATTGGATCGAGATATGTCTATTACCTGTTTATGCCAAGGCATAATTAATGCCCGTAAAACTCGCGGCTATTTTTATTCCGCAAGCGAGAGAATAACCTCACAGCCCGCCTAGCATTAAGTGGTTACAGGAGCCTATAGAGATCGTATTTATGAATACCGTCATCCTTCTTCCATCCACAATTTTTTACGAATATTACTGGTAGTGGTATCGATATCATTACTTCGATATGCCATGCTACACCATAGCCTCCGATAACCTACTTCAGATACAGTGGTCCATACACACCGATAAAGAGGTCCCTGGACGTATCCAAGACGGATAGATTGACGGACGAATCCGCGATGTAGGACTCGTCGGAGAGTGAGAGCGACGCGAATGAGGCGGACGCGTCGAACGGAGACTTGCCGAGACTCGTCTTCGGAGATGACGTGAAGATGCTGGGGGTCGCCTGTCTCGCCGGGCTGCGGGCAAACAAACCTCAGTGGAACATAGACACGTGCTGCCATCTCTCGACTAGGAGATGTAAATTACATTTAAAAAAGATCTATATATATATAAAAATTAATTGCTGTTCGTTAGTCTCGCTAAAACTCGAGAACGGGCGGACCGATTTAGCTAATTTTGGTCTTGAATTATTTGTGGAAGTCCAGAGAAGGTTTAAAAGGTAGATAAATATGAAAGTGCTCGGAATTAAATAAAAATAACAATTTTGTTTTTCCTTTGATGTGTCCCCCGTCGGACGGATTCCTTTTGTTTGTTTTAAGTTTATTTTATACAAAAGTTTAGGTCTTTTATTTATCGATTGAGACACTACGAAGTCTGCCGGGTCAGCTAGTTTGAAATAAATAAATAAAACGTTGAAAACAAATCAATTGATTTAATCTATACTAATATATAAATCTACAGTGGTTTTTATGGATGTTCCGTTATAACTACTGAACCATGCATCCGATTGACTTGAAGCTTGGTATCCATGTAGAAAATACATGTACTTAATGGATAGGCTAATATTTATGTGAATGTTGCACTCCCTAATAATAATGACAATAAATAATAATGTAAATTTTAAATGCCGGCGAGTACTGCTAGTAATTTATATGAACGATATGTACAAATATGGATAATATTGTCATATAAACAAAAAATTTAAACTATAAATTTAGTAATAATCTTTAGTTAGGTATACGAAAATAGTATAGGCATTTTATATTGTATAGTAACAGAATAGGTGTACTATAAATACTGGGTATTAGGAGACCGCTTCTGTAAACGAATACAAAAGATAGTACTAATGACAAGTAGATAAGTTAGTTATTTAGACAAATGTTGTAAATAAGTATTTGATCGCGCGAGTCTGCGCCGCGCCCGGGCGTTCCTTGACCCGAGCATCAGCTGTTTTTGATTTTGTGTTTCATTGCTGGTTTTTTTTAAAAGTAAAGTCATGTATTTTTTTGTGAAACTATCGTATCATTTAGCTGTACTAACATAATGGAGGGTAAATAATGCTAATCAAAATATTTTTTTTTAAAATTAGTATCGATTTTTTTTACCGTCCCATCATCAAAGGTGTTATTAGTACTATTGTCTGTCTTCGTTTTCGGAAGCGGTCTCCTAACATCCAATATATTACCTATTAGGCAAGTTTCTGGCGTGATGCGTCGGCGAATCCTTCTCCTCTGCTATCCTGGGCAGGGGTGGCTCGTCGGGCTTGTCCTGGGGGGGCGGAGTGGGAGGCGCGGGGGCGGGCGCTCGCCACATCCCGCCGCGCCGCGTGCTCCCCGCGCTCACCGACACGCCCGCCACCACCCCCCCGCAGCACAGAGGCGATATCGAACACTTGGCTTCAGCTGAACGAGGGTGTAATCTGGTGGTAGGGTTTACCAAAATTGTCAACCACATCACAACCAATTTAGATGTTCTGCCGTTTTTATTATTAAGTATTGAAACTATAAACCAACAAAAATAAAATTGACATTCGTTTAATTATATATAAATTATAACTTTATGAACTAACCGCACCAAACATTAAAAATTCTAACCCAAACCATTATCAATTTTACATACATTATACATGTGCAGAATACAACAAAGTTAGACAAATGTATAATTATTATACATCTACAATTTAAAATGCTACTTATTTGCAAGTTAACAAGGACCTCGTGTTTCACAATGTTAAAATAAATTAAGGAGCAATTCTATTAGATATATAATATTGAAATAAATAAAAAACACTCAATGAGAGATGAAATGACTACAAAGCATTATGAACAGCAAACGAAAACACACTCTAACCGCATGCGAATAAAGCGCACGTACCTATCGGGCGAGAGCGCCCGGCGGAGGAGGGGGGAGGCGGGGTCGCGTCTCGGCCAGGCGCGGCGCCCGCACTCCCGCGTCGCGAGCGGCGAAGGACTGCGGGCCTCCACGCGACTGTGCCGGTATTAGTCACAAAATGCTCAATAAATGTTGCCAGCTCATCGACGGATTAACATAATGAAACGATTTTTAATCTGTGCGACGAAAACATTTAGCTACGTGCAGAGAACTTTTTGGCGGGAATGGGAGGAGTGAAGTTGTGTGATTTGTTTTATTTTGTCTATCTACTGTTTGTGTAATAATGGTGGTTTATTGACTATTTATTAGTATCTGTGATAGTGCACAAATGTGGGAAAATGAAACAAAGCCGCTGAACGTGACTTCTCGGGATCCTCCAAAGAGTCCACCGTATAAATCTCAATAAATGACCGCCATTTTACTGAGATTATACTTCATCCCATATCATCTCATCTCATTTCATTTCATCCCAGTTGATTAATTTCTCAAATTAATCATCTTCTTTTCATTTTATTTCACTCCATTTTATAATTTTTCATAAAAATAAGAATATAAATAAGACATGACTTAAAGGTCTTAGTTACCAGGTCATAAAATCCCTTTAAAAAATAGCTACGTGCACACCTTAATTATGAATGTATGTAATATGTAAAAAATAATTGAAATTATTTATGATTCAATTATATGTAGAAAAAAATTACGAACAAATATTATAGTGTATTGTTAGAGGATGCTATAGTAAAAATTCTATTGCGAACACGATCGCTTTCGAAGTCCTTAGAAATCATCGGAGTTCTTCACGGCTGATCAATCAGTCATGAAATATTGATAGTAAATTAGATTCTAAGCATATCGTTCGCATGCTTTTAAACATGGATGTGATTTTCTCGTAAATATACTATGTAAAAAGACAGTACATAATTTCGATTTTCCAGATATCAAACACGTACACAATGGTTATGATTTTGTTTCGATATTCAGAAGCCTTCAATGTTTTAACAAAAACTTAACATCTTCTGAAATATTTCGAGCGTTTACACATTAGTTTTATTCAAACGAAATATGGAACAATACTGACACAAATACATGTATATTATATAGACAACACATTGTATATAGACAACAATAACAATAGCAAAACAAACGGAACATGATATTTACGCTTCTCTGAGGTTAACGTCAATATAATACATTTTTTTTTTCAAATAACGTTCTGTCTTTCCTAGAAAATTTCATGTCCCTAGTGTCCAAATTAGCGAAAGCACATAAGATGATTTTCGGATTTTAAAATACTATTAAAATAGCTATACGAATCTACAAACAGACAAACATTGATTTACATCAATAATAATATTGTTGTGGGACTAAAACAGCGGCTCTCAACCACCGTGTCACGACAAAAAGGATGCATCCGTACGCTCCTGTTGAGTGTATTGCGATATATACAAATACTGTGTTTTTAAATGAGATAAGCCAAGGGATCACATCTTGGGGGTAAATTTGTTGTAGATATGTAAAGAAAAACCTTTATTACGTAAAACTGTTTAGTTTTAACAAAAAAGGGTGCGTGTACTTATGTACGCGCGTAAGAAGTTAAAGTTTATTATTATTAAATTTATTTCTTTTTTTTATTTAAGCGTTAATCAATTTGAAAAAAAATCGATTAAACAACATCCTCAAACACGCATATTGGACATCCCTTTTCTTGACATCGTATAAATTCGGTAATTCTCGGTACGGTTCGGAAAGTTCACCTGCGGCTATATTCAGACTCGCCAAGTTACGTCAGTCGTATTGTAATGTGCGATTTAGTGGGCAATATTTTTTGGATTTAGTGGGATTTATTAGTGGGGACAAATTTAGTGGGATAATTAATAAAAAAAAATCACTCTCATCAATTTTTCATAACGCGTCTAAAGAAGTATAACTTCAAAAAAAAATCTTAGACAAATTCACTGACCTGTTTGTAATTGAGAAAAATGAGGAGTTCAGTTGTACATAATTCAATAATACTGTTTAAAATAATAATTTAAAAAGGAGATTAAAGGTTTTAAATGTTGTTTTTTTAGTATTTTACAGAAAAGGCAATTAAGTCTTTTATTATTGTTCAATCATTCTAGACTATTCCATATCATTATAAAATATACAACGGTTTATTGTTAAGCATACAAATGCGTTTACTAAATTAATAATGTATATTTTTAAGAAATATACCCCACACCTACCATCGTTTCAACTATAAACAATTTTTCAAGTTAGGGTTCGCGGGTTTGCATATAATAGTTTAGTGCGTCATGCACTAAAAAAGGTTGAGAGCCGCTGTATTAAGACGTACATATGTCCTGATAACACTAATAAAATTTAGTGAAATAAAACACATCTTCATGCCCCATATCTCACTTGTTGGGACACAGACTGACAGGCGAGGCTTACCTCACACACGCTTTTCAAAAATTTCCATTACTACAGAGGGAATGAAATGAAACTAAGAAACATTGAGGGCGTATCGAGCATGGTATTATGTTTATTAGATGTGGTGATTGTCATCTGAAAGCCATATGTTTTCTCATTGAGTAAATGCGAGCATGTGAAACCTGATTTGATCTTAATACAAAATTCAATCAAGATTATAAATTAATTAATTTAAATTTAATTAACGATTTCATTGTAGGTCCCGCGATTCAAACATCATTCCTTGGATGCCTTGTTTGATTTTTTAAATCTGTTATTAGTAAATAATAATTCAATAATTAATGTGTTTCTGTAGTTATTATATCAGTGTCGGCGGCGCTAAATATCTCGATGCAGTTGTAAAGTGGGTCTGTACCTGGTAGGCGAGGCAGGGGGCGGGGGTTGCGGCGAGGGGGAGGGCGTCCTCGCGAGGGGGGACAGCGGCATGTGCTGCAGCGAAGAGCGACGGACCTCCGCGCCGCCCACCAGCTTGTGCTTCAGCCCGTGTAACGACGACGGTCTGCAATGTATGGCAACACTGAGATTATTGTATGATCACTATTCTCTTGTTCTTTTCAGGTTCTCTTGTGCTTCTCAGGTTGCCATCACAGGTTCCGGATAAAACCTGTAGCAGAGCGGATTTTAATAATTGTCTAAGAACTAAAGTCCTTACATCGTACAACAATAAGCGATAACTTTGGTGACAGGAGCGCAAGAACAATAGCTTTGAAAATTATTTTATTTCTTCATTTAATGTTTCTTAAGGTTTAAATGGATCACTAGTTTAATATAAAAATGATTTGTTTAATGAAGTTTTGGCTAGGGTACTAGTGCCCAGACAAGTAACTTATGTAAAAAGGAAATCACCTCTGGAAGTGCGTGTTGGCGTGCAGCGGCGCGTCGGGGGGCGCGGGGGGCGCGGCGGGGGGCGCTGACGTCACCGCCTCGCCCGACACCATCTGGGTTACATACAAATTTATTCATAACATTTTTTTCGATTAATATATATAGTAAAAATATGTTTTATTGCACGACATTATTTCTATACCGTAGGAGTAATTCGTGAGCATTTATTAAGCACGTAATTCATTGGAAAAATTGGTATCTGCCTGCGAGATTCTAAAACCGACACAATCGCGTCGTAAATATACATATATATCAATGTGAAAACTGCTATATTTTAATGTCCTCTATTGATAAACATCTATTGAGGCTTTCTTGGGAAAATATAATGTGTATATGCTCTACCCTCAACGCCTCAGTCCACGAAGTCATCCACTAGATCAGTCTTTCTCAAAGTGGGCGATAACGCCCCCTGGGGGGCGTTTGAAACCTAGAGGGGGGCGTTAAGGGGCCCAGGAAAAAATGGGGGGCGTTGATGTGGGTTAGGGGGGCGCTGTAAAATTTGTAATTTCATTTACTTTATAGTATTTTAAATTTCACTAAAATTAAAACTCGTTTATATTTCTACCCTGTATGATGTTATANCCCGAGAAACGTCATTGATAGATGATAATAGGCCTGGCTCAAATCCAGTTTGACATTCCAATCTGTTATAAAACTTAGGAACTCGATGGTGGAAAAGGTGAAAAAGACTGTTTCATGTACTTGTTCAATGCCTTGAGGTTGAAAATTGTTCGATTTTTTATTGGTCTTGGGAAGTATGAAAAGAGGAAATCTGAAAGACTGTGTCGGGGGTGCGGGTTCTAAAGCTCTATTGAATTAAATTTTGGATTTTGATTGACATCAAGTTATTATTAATTTCAATATTACGTTTGGTGGATCGAGTCCAGGTGTTTCGATATAGTCTTAGACATCCGCCTGAAAATGCTATTGAGTAATTTATTTTTATTTCCCGATTTTCGTTCCACTTTGTACTTGTTCCCCCCTCCCCCCGTTTTTCTTGCTGAGGAATTATTTGGATAGCATCGCTCAGAATATCTGTTTTCGGCCTCTTTAGATGTATTGGAATGTGGCCTACCTCGACATGGCTTTGCATTGGCAGTACAAGCCGAGGGTTCCGGCGATGTGGGCCGGATGCGAGTAGCAGACGGTGCCGCTTTTGTAATTTATCAATACCACCAATTTTCTGTATATATGCCAATAATAAGTTGGGGTTAAACATATAATCACAAGAAGAAGATATTTTCTCTACATCTTCCCTGATATATCTATCCTTTAATTTCTTTAAGAGGTATCTACGACGCTATCGTATAACCTCGGCTCGCTTACCGAAAATTATTTGAAGGATATCGTTAGAAACTTTTATAGGCGAAATCGTTACCGAATAGCGGTTTAAACTTTTCGTAAAAGGCGGAAGAATTAAGCTGAACATTCTCTGAATTTGACCCGTCGGCAAGGTTTTGTATGGCAGCATAACGCATTCGTTTTGTGCCAAAAGAGCATTAGTAACGCAGGAAAACATTTTGAACCTCCGAATACTGCACCGCGTTCCAAGTCGGCTAGTCAAATCTTTGCATATCTGGTTCTTTTATAGAAATGCTCAAATTTCAAAACCTACCCGCTTCTGGTAACGGACGGTCTGGTGGCAGACGTAAAAACTATTCGTCGTTGTCTAATTTCGATTGGAAGTTGAAACCAGATCAGACATTATTATTATAAGATCTTGGTATTTGTAAGTGTAAAGGCGGGACCACTGGTGCACGACCAACAATAGCATGATTCGAAGTTAAAATAATATTCACATGACTCACCCATTATTGCGACAGTAAGTCAAACCTTTTATTCAGATCTCGCGACCAGTCACTTTTTCGAAGTTTTCTTGCTGGTCCCTAGTCTTTATTTTCCGACGAACCCGAAGAAATATCCGAAGAAATCGAAGAACATTCCTCACTTAAATTTTACTTTGAAAGGCGCGATAACCTCGTCACTCATTGTAGAGCCTTGGAGGTTTTCACGAAACGGAAGATACTCATAACACTTGTTTGAAACAAACTTTCTACTTCAAATCTCGAAAGTTGCTTATAACATTTTAAATTACTAACTTCTTAAAATATTAACGACTGCACGTGGGAAAAAACGACGCAACAATGACAAATATGGCGGCTTGTCTTTGCTTGTTGGTTCGGTTCCAGACGTTATAGAGGGCGCTGTAGATGAGACTTAGGAAACGGAAGTAGTCAAATTTAGCGACCTGCAGTGGAAATCATACGATGTACTCTCATAATGGACTTCGGACGTCAAACGGAACACATAATATAAAATATTAGGCTGTATGGTATGATAGATTTGCCTTTCCAGTTGGAAAAATACAACAACTACTGACATTTGATAAGTACTTAATTTCACTAGTAGTTTGATTTAGTGAGGGCCGTTTCTCATGTTTCCGATTGAGTTAAATATGACACTTCCGTTGCATACCTGCGTGACGTTACATCTGTAAAAATTTTACCCTCGTGCGCCTAAAGAAGTTTCACTTCAAAAAAAAAACGTAGACACATTCATTGACCTGTCTGCCACTGGAAAAAATTTTTAGTTGTACATAATTCAATAATACTGTTTAAAATAAAAATTTAAAATAAAAACATTAAACGTTTTAAATGTTGTTTTTTTTAGTATTTCATAGAAAACGCAATTAAGTCTTTTATTATTGTTCAATCATTCTAGAGTATTCCATATCATTATAATATATACAACGGTTTATTGTTAAGCATACAAATACTTTTACTAAATTAATAATGTATGTTTTAAGAAATATACCCCAAACCTACCATCGTTTCAAATATAAACAATTTTTCAAGTTAGGGTGTCGCGCGTTTACAAATAATAGTTTAGTGCGTCATGCACTAACAAAGGTTGAGAGCCGCTGTACTAAGACGTACTTTCCTGATAACACTAATCAATATTAGTGAAATAAAACACATCTTCATGCCCCATATCTCACTTGTTGCGACACAGACTGACAGGCGACTTTTTTTTTATTGCTCGATGGATGGACGAGCTCACAGCCCACCTGGTGTTAAGTGGTTACTGGAGCCCATAGACATCTACGACGTAAATGCGCCACCCACCTTGAGATATAAGTTCTAAGGTATAGTTACAACGGCTGCCCTGCCCTTCAAACCGAAACGCATTACTGCTTCACGGCAGAAATAGGCGGGGCGGTGGTACCTACCCGCGCGGACTCACAAGAGGTCCTACCACCAGTTTACCTTACTTACGCTTTTCAAAAATCATGTTCGTTTCCTTTACTACAAAGTGAATGAAATTAAACTAAGAAACATTGAGGGCGTATCGAGCATGGTATTATGTTTATTAGATGTGGTGATTGTCATCTGAAAGCCATATGTTTTCTCATTGAGTAAATGCGAGCATGTGAAACCTGATTTGATCTTAATACAAAATTCAATCAAGATTATATATTATTAAATTGGATTTAATTAACGATTTCATAGTAGGTTCCGCGATTCAAACATCATTTCGGACGCTTTGTAGGCAGACGAGCATACGGCCCACCTGATTTTAAATCCGTTATTAATAAATAATAATTCAATAATTAGTGTGTTTCTGTAGTTATTATATCAGTGTCGGTGACGCTAAATATCTCGATGCAGTTGTAAAGCGGTTCTGTACCTGGTAGGCGAGGCAGGGGGCGGGGGTTGCGGCGAGGGAGAGGGCGTCCTCGCGAGGGGGGACAGCGGCATGTGCTGCAGCGAAGAGCGACGGACCTCCGCGCCGCCCACCAGCTTGTGCTTCAGCCCGTGTAACGACGACGGTCTGCAATGTATGGCAACACTGAGATTATTGTGTGATCACTATTCTCTTGTTCTTTTCAAGTTCTCTTGTGCTTCTCAGGTTGCCATCACAGGTTCCGGATAAAACCTGTAGCAGAGCGGATTTTAATAATTGTCTAAGAACTGAACTCCTTACATCGGACAACAATAAGCGATAACTTTGGGGACAGGACCGCAAGAACAATAGCTTTGAAAATTATTTTATTTCTTCATTAAAATTTAGTTTCTTAAGGTTTAAATGGATCACGAGTTTAATATAAAAAATATTTGTTTATTGAAGTTTTGGCTAGGGTACTAGTGTCCAGACACTTAACTTATGTAAAAAGGAAATCACCTCTGGAAGTGCGTGTTGGCGTGCAGCGGCGCGTCGGGGGGCGCGGGGGGCGCGGCGGGGGGCGCCGACGTCACCGCCTCGCCCGACACCATCTGGGTTACATACAAATTTATATTATAAAAAAATGTTGTTATATTTTTTTTCTTCAGTAATAAATATAGTAAAAATATGTTTTATTGCACGACATTATTCCTATACCATAGGAATAATTCGTGAGCATTTATTAAGCACGTAATTCATTGGAAAAATTGGTATCTGCCTGCAAGATTCTAAAGCCGGCACAATCGCGTCGTAAATATACATATATATTAATGTGAAAACTGCTATATTTTAATGTCCCCTATCTATAAACATCCATTGAGGCTTTCTTGGGAAAATATAATGTGTATATGCTCTACCCTCAACGCCTCAGTCCACGAAGTCATCCACTAGATAATCGAAAAGATTCAGAGGAACCACAACCATCATTGCGGATTATCGACGCAAGGCAAGATCTTTTATGTGTCATAGCATAACCACCACCATCACTGCAACTACCTATGCTAATAGCCTTGAGAGGCTATTTCAGCTTCACTCTAAAGTGTGAGCTCACGGGGCTCAAACCGGAGTGTTGCTAACACTGGCCCTAGCAAGAGCAGTGCTTCGCAGAATCTACCACCGGATCGGAAACGCGACCCACTGAGAAGATCCGGCGAGAAACTCAGTGGGCTGTGTCTGAGAGTTAATTTACTCGTCGAGCCCTTCGTCGCAAGCGACGAAGGGCTCGACGACGACTTTGTCTATGGGTGCCATCTTTAAGAAATATAACAGAAGAAACTTAACATATGTTTTACCTGATGCATTTCCTGTGTAGCGCGTTTGGTGGATATCCTCCTGAACAGGGAGCATCGTCTTCGGGGTCGAGGTCGAGGGGGAGCGTACGCCCTCCTCCCGCCGCTGGTACGGCGACGCCCACCAGACTTAAATAATGAAAATGGTAATTAATTCGTTAAAAATGAAAAATTAAGTTTATTACTGGTGGTAGGAATTCTTGTGAGTCCACACGGGTAGGTACCACCGTCCTGCCTATTTCTGCCGTGAAGCAGTAATGCGTTTCGGTTCGAAGGGCGGAACAGCCGTTGTAACTATACTTGAGACCTTAGAACTTATATCTCAAGGTGGGTGGCGCATTTACGTTGCAGATGTCTATGAGCTCCAGTAACCACTTAACACCAGGTGGGCTGTGAACTCGTCCAACCATCTAAGCAATAAAAAAAACAAAAAAAAAACATTCAATATAAATTATTAATAAAAATTGTAAAATGTGGCTTTGATTACCTGTATAGTTGTCTGATCCAGTGGTGTCGCTCGTAACGTCGCGTGCGGCGCTGCCAATAGCAACCTTAACACCTACGAATACAAACGATTTTACAATAAGACCAAACGGTTCACATAAGATCGTCACCATATAGTCAATACACTTGTTCATATAGGTCCTGCGCATTACGACAACAAATTTCGACTTTTAGGCGATAAAGTCGGCTGTCCATACCTTTTTGACAATTATTCAATTGCTACATAATAGATGATTTCTTCGTATAAAATGTTTTTTTATTTAAAAAGTAGTGACTAGTGACATCCCTAATTTACAAGACATTGCTGAACTGCAATAACCCCAAGTGACCTTAACAACTGACATTGGCCTTATACATCTGTTATAAGATGAAAGAAGACAATTTTACGGCCCAGTTAGTAACTCTTTATCGTCATTAACAAGGATATAAACATAGATGAGACGGCGTCCTCCTCCATCAACTCCTACCAGGCTTCGTTTACAGGACATTTCATGGTCCTGTGGTAATATTCCAGGATGCAGTTCGTGACTGAAAAGATCTCTGGAAACGAGGACTTCAGGAACTGACTACGCAATGTACTCTGACGGTAGATGATGCTTAAATGATATGAAATCTAACCGTCACGATAAAAAATTTTTCTTACTCATTCGCCGGTAGCCTATTCATATATTAATTTCGCGCGAACTGTTATGATAACCTCTGGTTCTTAGCGTTGCTTCCATCATCAACTTTCCCGAATAGCGTCAGCACTTATGATCCTTTATTAGAGAACAATCCCCTCCCTACCCCGTCAGTCCTATTCCTAATTCCATACAGAACGATTGCCATCATTGTCGTCGTAAATCTTTGATGTCTGTTTCATTATAAAAATCTTTTTTAAAAAGATCCTTTCTCAATTTCGTATAACAAATTGGTAGCAGCGGTGGGATAAATGGGTGGGGTACACGAAATTCAAGCTTCAGTATGTAGGTATCGCGCCTTTAGAATTATAGAGAAAAATTTTAAAATTTTTAAATTTCGGTTTTAATTAAGAAAGTTACCTAGAACGACCCTTTTCAGCGACTCCTAATAATCAAATGACCAAAAGTAGCTTATATAGAGACACACTTATCCATCGGTCTCTTTCACTCTCTCTTATTTTTCCTCACCTTATCCCATCTCTTCTTTTTCCTCACCTTATAACATTATGTGGGGTGGGCACAGCTAATCTTTCTCTTCCATTCTCTTCTATCAGCCGTCATATCAACACTCACTCCCCTCTCTCTCATTCCGTCATTCACACACTCCATCCGTGTCTTCTTTGGTCGACCTCTTCCCCCTCTACCTTGTACTACTATTTCCATACATCGCCTAGTCACATGCATCTTCTCTCTACGCATCACATGTCCATACCACGTATCTCTGTCTTTTCGATTTGAAAACTTTATTCGATGTTTACCAAAAAACCCATTTTTAGGGTTGACACTCTATAGGTGCGATATAATGTCGTCTTATAGGAAATCTTCAGAGTCTGACCTGCGTGTGCAGCAGCCCTTGCACTGACTCGCCGTTCAACTGCGTTATGAGGTCGCCGGCTCTCAAACCGGCCGCCCACGCCGCGCCTTGCTCGTTCACGGCCTAAAATATTAATTTAATAATAAATTAAATATTAGACACACGCACTAGATCAAAAGGGTGACAATTCAAAAAAAATATTATTACATCATTGATAAAAAAACGCATATGAGTCGTCTATTATCAAAGCTGGCAATCTGTGCATTTGGACAAAAAAAATTTATTGATATGTCAATACAGATTGATTTGAATATAATCGTCTCCTTCAAAAAATACGGTTCAAAACCTGCATTAAATAAAGGTTAATAGTTAACCTGTTATTTATCTAAGATGTCGTTCCGAAGAGTTTTGTGACTGCCAATGGAATACAAAGTCAATAATTCGTTTTTCTGATTTACCAATCATGGTCCAAAAGTCAGATTGCCGGCTTTGATAATAGTTATGAAGTGAGAAGTGTTTATAAAAATTGGACCGCGGTTAGCACAGTATTCGTCTTTGTAATTAAAGCCGCGTTTGATTTGATATTAGCATCAACGGTTCGTTGTTTTCAATTGAACTTCAATCAAGTTTACCCCATATAAATAACCGAAGTACCTATTTTTTTTTTTTTGTTATCTTATATTTTCTAAATTTTATATTTGAAATGGCTCCCCTGTAAAGTTACAAAACTGTGGTTTAAGCCGAATAGCCTTTCACTCGTGGATATAAATTTATTAAACTTTCTCACTGGTGGTAGATCGTCTTGTGAGCGCGTACGATATGTATCACCGCCCCGCCTATTTCTGCCGTGAAGCGTTAACGTGTTCTGGTTTGAAGGGTGGGGCGGTTCTTATACCTTAAAACTGTGGCGGTACCACACTCACACACTGTATATCCACGCCACTATTGTGACGCCGATAAGAGTAACGACATCTATCGCCGAATAGCCGAAACGAATATCAAAGGATCTAGTAACATCTAGAACGCTCGAGACGTACTACGCCATCTATTGTCAGCGGAAGCATGCATCGAATGTGCTCGAGTTGTGAGGAATGTTCGCGACAGTTCTAGAGATGTCGTATCGACTATAAAAGCGTTGTATGGATGGCGCGCAGTCAGTTAGTAATCGAAACTACTCGAAGCGAAATAGCGAACGGATCATAGATAATAATACACATAAATTAGTTATAAATAGCAACTCAAGCACTCAAAATGTTTACGGGCGTGGGCCACTAGATCGCTTCCATTAATTTCTCATTGCTCCTGTAAATGGCAGTAACATATTACCCATCATATATTTTAATTTAATTGAAGGATTTTGTAAATTTTTAGAACCCACAAAATGATAAAATTTAATCAATTTGTCCATAACAAATAAAGGCTTGTATAATTTTTTTTTCTGTGTTTAGTTATACAATAATTAAATGCCTTAACTTTAACAACATATACATTTAGGGGCATCCGCTAAAAGATGTCGCTAGTTTCCATACAAAAAAATTTAATTCAAGTATCGCAGTTTTCAGGGTCCTGGAACGGATCGCCTGAAGCGAAGCGGAAAAAGTGAATTCAGAATTTTAAAGTGTTTGTGAATTCAAATGTTCAAATTGTTTCAAATGTTCTAAGTGCTAATGCGGTTTTGATTTGTACTTTGGTGGAGCTTTTTAATTATCCCCAACCCCAGCGCGTAACGTAACGGTACCAACCGAGACGAGATGGTGCATAGTGTAGTAGTCCGTGTCGCCATAGTACACGCGGACCGTGTGGATCGTGAAGCCGAACCCGCGGGGGCCGCGCCGCACAACCATCGGCGGTTTCGACGCTTGGATCAAACTGGAAAATTATAAAAAAATTAAAACCTATTTTTTTTATTGCTTATATAGGTGGACGAACTCACCGCCCACCTGGTATTAAGTGGTTACTGGAGCCCATAGACATCTACAACGTAAATGCGCCACCCACCTTGAGATATAAGTTCTAAGGTCTCAGCATAGTTACAGCGGCTGGCCCGCCCCTCAAACCGAACCGCATTACTGCTTCACGGCAGAAATAGGCGAGGTGGTGGTACCTACCCGTGCGGACTCACAAGAGGTCCTACCACCAGTAATTACGCAAATTATAATTTTGCGGTTTTGATTTTTATTACACGATGTTATTCCTTCACCGTGGAAGTCAATCGTGAACATTTGCGAAGCACGTATTTCATTAGAAAAATGGTACCCGCCTGCAGGATTCGAACACCGTTGCATCGCTCGATACGATGCACCTTATCCTTTCTTATCCTTTAGGCCACGACGACTTCTTCTTCTTATCAGCCCACAGGCGTCCACTGCTGGACATGGGCTTACTCCAACCCTCGCCAGAAAGACCGGTCCTGCGCTGTCTGCATTCGGCTGATCCCCGCGAACCTCAACACTTACGAATGATTCGGCAAAGCGAACGGCGAAGGCGGATCTCTGCACGGCGAGGAGTCCCTCGAGGAGTTGGTGGAGGAAGTGTTGCCGGCGCACGGCGAGCCCGCCCCCGCGCTCAGCATGCTGTCGTCGGCTGTCGACAAACAATATATACACACGATTTTACAAAAATAATAATTGGCTAAATCATCTAGTTTCTAATGGCCGTAAACAAATATTAAAAACGCTCTTAAAAAACTTTTAAGAGCGTTTGTTCGACAAAGTGAAGTCTCATAAAATCTACAAAGCCGATATTGATACTACTACACACTTACTACTACTATACTACACCTTAACTCAAGCACTGCTTATGATGATATTTTTTATGCGATTTTATGACCTGGTAACGAAGACCTTTAGGTCAAGTTTTATTTTAATTTAAATGAAAACTTTTTTTATAATAAATGATATTATAAAATGAAATGAAGTTGATTAATATGAAACATGGCATGAAATGAAATGAAATAAAAACGAAATGAAATGAAATCAGATGAAATGTTATGGGATGAAATAGTAAAATGGTGGTCATTTACTCAGACTTTTTCAGTGGACTTTTTGAAGGATCCCGAAAAGTTACGTTTAGCGGCTTTGTTTCATTTTCCCACATTTATGCACTAACACAGATACTAAACAGTTAATAAACCACCGCTATTACACATTTAAACCTGAAGAAACTCCTGCTTCACTCCTCGCGTTCCCGCCAAAAAGTCCGCTTATAATGAATTATTTTAAATGATAATAATAAAGATAAAAGCTAAAAATATTACCTGGATGTATAACCAGAGACAATCCTGAAGTGCTGGCCGAACGCCGCATAGACTTGGCCGCCATGATGGCTGTCGGCTTCGTCTTCTCCGTTCTATCCGGTTTGTCTATGCTTCGGTCCTCTCTTCGGATGTCCGAACTGAACAAATAAACACATTAGTCAAATACCCATTCATGGACAATTAAAATTACGCATCTATTTAGGTTATAAATACTATTATTTGACGGGACCTCAACAAGATTTTCACATTTTACTACTTGCACAAGCATTTCGATTAGGTCTTATTTATCAATCAATGAAGCAATGTTCAATATCGACAGTTTCATCTGTCTACTCTGGTAAAGGCGATCATGCGCTCTCACTCTAAGCTATTGCTGCCTTTAGTCGCACACGGTGAGTACTGCATGCAAAAAAAATCAGTTCTGACTTTGTTGTTGAGTTCGAGTTTTTTTCACTTTCGAGTTGTAAGACTTAGATGACTGGCAGCTTAAGTGTCTATGCAAGTTGCATCCCAAATGAGACACTTCTCCCTCTGCCAGGGCATAAAGTAAAGTAAAGTACATTCTCATTTGTTTTTTTAAATATTTTTTTACAATTTACTAAATTTTTCTTTCTATCTTTCTTTTTATTTGTTGACCTTACTATCTGTCGATTTTCGATTCGTTTCTTTATTGGCGCGGCTTATACAAAATATTGCTATAGCTATGTCATGTTTTCCTCCAGGTCTGGAGTGTCGGAGTTGTGAATATCCTGGTGAGAGCCCGCGAATGTTGGTGGTGCGGGACGCAGTACTGACAGTCGGGGGGTGAGGGCGAGCGCGGAGGGCAGGTGCAGGCGGGGGGGCGCGCGGCGGCGGGCGGCCGGCGACACGTCCTCGCTGTCCGTCTGCGACGACTCCGCCGACACCTGCTGGCTGCTGCCCGCCACCTGACACACAGAGCAACATCAACAACAAGACCGGGGGGGTGGACACCTAGGACTCTTAATTATACGGCAGCGGCTTGGCTCTGCCCCTGGCATTGCTGAAGCCCATGGACGACGGTAACTACTCACCATCAGGTGGGCCGTATGCTCGTCTGCCTACAAGGGCAATAAAAAAAACTTAAGGCCAGACGACCGACCGATAAAACAACCCACAGACACAGCCCACTGAGTTTCTCGCCGGATCTTCTCAGTAAGTCGCGTTTCCGATCCGGTGGTAGATTCTGAAAAGCACGACTCTTGCTAGCGTTCGTGTTTACAACAACGTCAGGTTTGAGCCCCGTGAGTTCACCTAATCGCCCGGTGATGCTAATATGGTCTCTCAAGACCATCAGCTTAGGTAAGACAAAAAAAAGGCCAGACGGTGAAAATTTTAATTTACACCAATAAACATAATGCCGAAGTTCCCGGCTGTGGATATAGGACTTACAGGACATTTCGGATGATGATGATGCAGAGGCGCTGTGGGCGTCGTGGGCGGCCCGGCGCTGTCCGGTGTGCCGGGCCAGCTGTCCGTGCTCTATACGCAGAATAATGTTTTATTTACCTTTTGCTGCATGACTTGACCCAAGGAGAAACAAGAGAGAAGTTCCTTAAAAATACATGAAGTATAATGACCAGTGGTCGGAGTAGGTAGATTGATTTTATATACTTGCGTCAAGATATTATAATATGGACATGCCATTTTATCCATAATGATTTTTTTTTTTAGATTGGAAAAAAAAATTAATCCTCATCGGATAAAATTTCTATATTGATGAGATAAAGTAACAAAAAGCCCTGTCTAAGTTTTGTCTCATACTGACAAGCGTCATTTCTAATTCAACAGAAAAGGGACAAAATACGGTGTAACTATTCCAAGGTGTTTTTGTATAAAATAAAATACGATTTCTTTCACCATTAGCTAGCACTGGTAGCGTAAATTAATATTATTAATACGTTTTTCACCTTAAGCACAGATTCATGCTAATTTCAAAATTCCGGAACAAATATCACAATAAATATGAAGTTCCGGTATTTTGGAGGCATATCCATATTATACTCTACGTTTGACGTCAACGACCTTAAATCAATCTACCTACTCCGACTAATAATGACACAAGGTCCGCCAAGATATGTACCCGGGAGTCGTGCTCTGCGCAGGAGTGATGGTGCCTCCTCCACTGCGGCGAGGTGCTGGAGAAGGCGGCGAACACTCCGTCGTCGGGCGCGTCGGCCGCCTCGTCCGTGTCCACCTCGCTGTGGTTGTAACGCTCGCACCGACCTGCGCACCACACGCGGCTCAGTGCCAAGAGATGATTATGAGAGAGATCAACGGTGGAGGCCTTTCCAGTTTCACCAGGTGGGCGAGCAAGGGGCTCAGCCTGGAGGGGCGGGATTTGCTAACAGCTAACCGAGCGCCTCTGAAGGAGACCTAACAACTCAAGAGTAGCTGCTTCGCGAATGAATCTATATAAACAAAAATTACTCACTATCAAAGTAGCTGGTGTCTTCGTCGTTCTCCAGCTGCGGTATGAACTCGGCCTTCCTCCTGAGCAGGTTGTTCCAGTCCAAACCATAGAAATAAACGTGGTCCTGGCGAAAAAACGTGCGTCACTACACTGCGGACAAGCGGGCGACGCCGGGACCGGGGACTAGTGCACGCCCACACGTGGGCAAACAATACTTTCTATTTTTTAATTATCAATAAAACTCTTGACTTTTTGACGGAAACGCGAGGAGCGAAATAGTGTGCATTGGTTGTGTATTTGTTTACGGTACGGCATTAGAAGATTGCACAAAGTGGGAATGAGTTGCTCGCTCCGGGCATTTCAATATCGTAGTAATTGTTATGTTATAATACTCATTGTAAAAATTTTCGAACTTATATCTCAAGGTGGGTGGCGCATTCACGTTGTAGATGTCTATGGGCTCTAGTAACCACTTAACACCAGGTGAGCTGTGAGCTCGTTCACCCATCTAAGCAATAAAAAAAGGCAGGTTTCTTCCAAAAGGTCCACTGAGAAAGTCTCAATAAAAAACTACCAGTTTAATGAGACTTAATTTCGTCTCATCAAATCTCGTTTCATTGAATTACATCCCAATTGATTACAGTTTCAAATCAATCGAGTAATTAATCAATAGAATTTAAGAAGAAAATATACGACTTGACTTGAAAGGTTTCATTGCCAAGCCATTACATATTTTGCAGTGCCTTTGTATATAAGTTTCCTATTACTCTGTACTATGTCTTCTTTTTTGTGTGTACATAAATAAATAAATAAATAAATAAATAAAATAAAATAAATAATATTAAAAAAAAAAGAATCTAAAACGTGTGATCGCATTGAAAAAGTTTATTATGAAGAAATAGTATAATACAGATTTACTATTACTATTTGTTACTAATAAACATTTGGATGAGGAGTGCTAAAGAGTTGTGTCATAGGTACAGTAGTACAAATCACCACTACACTACGTAGCCTATGACGGTAACCATAAGCTTGCATATAATCCCTAAACTCGAGATTACTCTCGCCTGATAACTTATACTCTATTCCAATTACGAAGTCACATTTGACAGATGGTATTATTATGTTATTGTGTGTGTCAATTAATTGTTGACTGTGTATTTTTTTAATTATGATTTACGACCATGAATAAAAAATGATTATTATTTCAAATTATGCGAAACATGAAGAGTTACGTTCTAAGAAGTGTCAAAAGGGACTTCGTAATTAGAATAGAGTATAGTGCTTTTACACTCTACATTTAATAATCAGGTCTAGTGGGTCCTAATCGAGTGCCATTTATGCGAGACCAGATTAGAGTCTGCACTGACCTTGACTTGATGGGTGCCGCCAGTCCCGAGCCGGTCCCTCGGGTTGCGCGCGAGGAGTTCCGTGATGATGGCTCTCGCTTCCACCGCAATCGGAAAGTCTTCCTCCGACGGCCACTCTATGTCATCTACACCAAGTAATAATGTTTATACTCTATGTCATCTACACCAAGTAATAATGTTTATACTCTATGTCATCTACACCAAGTAATAATGTTTATACTCTATGTCATCTACACCAAGTAATAATTTTTATTTGTTTCAGCTGATCTTATTTAGAGCTGAAGGATTTTACGCGATAATAGACTAGTCGGATAATGTTGATAATGGTATGGATGAGAAGGCTCATGGCTCATGTGATATTAAAACTAATCACACCAACACTTACTGGTACCTATTTCTACCATAGTAGATAGATAACGGTATCCGACAGGTATTACTCAAAATAAACAAAACAAAAAAATAGTATATTAATTGGTAAGAAAAATCATGGAGTTAATTGCGCAAAAGCAATAAGACGACACGTGAATTTTCAATGCAAAAGTTCAAAATGGGTCATTTGACCCGTTATGGTATGTTTAGTGTTAATCGGTTACAGCGCCATGTGTCTGGGCAGGGTGGAACTGCTCAAGCTAGCACCAAGAACATGCTATTATATATATTCAGATTATTTACTCTCCTAACAACATCTACCGGAAGGAATGAGGTACAGCTCCTCTAGGTATCCCCCAGCCAGAACACAACGATTACTGAGAGTTTGAGGCCCCCACGGAACCTACTTACCATTGACAGTATGAGCGAACAGCTCCTCGGGAGTGTCGCCGAAGAACGGCACACATCCCACCAGGAACTCGTACAGGATGACACCCATCGACCACCAGTCCACCGGCTTCCCGTAGCCCTGCAGCGGAAGGATTTTTTTTATGACATACATGGGTGAGCGACCTCACAACGCATATGGTGTTAAGTGGTTACCTGAGCCCATAAACATCTACAACGTAAATGCCGCCATCTACCTTGAAATATGAGTTCTAAGATCTCAGTTTTTATACAGTACAACGGCTGCCCCGCCCTTAAAATCAAAACGCATTACAGCTTCACGGCAGAAATAGGCGGGGCGGTGGTACCTACCCGTGCGGACTCACAGAGGTCCTACCACCAGTAATTACGCAAATTTACATTGATGCAAGTAGATGATGTATAATAGGTTAGAGAAGAAAGGGATAGTGGTTTGGGCGGATACCGGATACCGAATATTCGGCAAGCTGCGAGGCCAGAGCGCCGGGTATTCGGCTACCAAATATTGTGTGCCTAGTGTGGCCTAATTTGCATTTTGTATAACCATGAGATTTTCTTAAATTTTGCGATCCGAAATCCGGCTGGATACTGATTTACTATCCGGTATCCGGATAGTTACCGGATATACGTTTCATTTCTAATGTAGGTCTGGGTGCTTGTCGTGCCGCGCGCCACTGACCTGTCGGAGTATGACCTCCGGCGCGATGTACTCGGGAGTGCCGCAGACCTGCTTGTCGGAGAACTGCCGCGCCTCTCTATCGGCGTACTCTTCATATAAATTCGTCGCCACTGTAAACACAAGCAGAAACTATAGTAAAAAAAATACAGTATATTTATTTATTGTACAACTAGTGTACTCGGAATTCGAACCACGGGCCGCATGCCTAGTTGCAGAGACAAAGACGTTCACGTGCGACTAAAGTTAATCCTTCTGAAGTATTCTATCTCGTTCTTGCGCAAAACAAATAAATATCTCTTTGTCTCTCTTTTATTGTCATTTCCGTTTTTCAATAAATGTCAAATAAGAAGGTTAGTAAAGATTTTTTCTAATCACATGTAAAACAATTATAGTCTCTACGTACACGACATAAGTCCCATTTTGCTCAACCCGAAGTCTGTCAGTTTGATGTGGCCGGTGGCCGTGATCAGCAAGCTGAAACAAGTCGTGTGCTATTAAATTTACACATTAGAAATTTATATTTAAAATCATTAGACATTTATATTTACATTACGTATTTAAATGTTACAAAACATTACAAGTATGTAACTATATTGAGACCTTAGAACTTATATCTCGAGGTGGGTGGCGCATTTACGTTGTGAATATCTATGGGCTCCAGTAACCACTTAACACCAGGTGGGCTGTGAGCTCGTCCACCCGTCTAAGCAATAAAAAAAAAATGTGAAAAAAACTTTATAAATGTTTATTTAATTATCATTTCTTTTTAATTTCAAAGATATTTTAAACCGAACCGCTTTGTCTCTTGAATGCACGTTGTAAATGCTTCATTTCTTTTCGAAGCATAAAATTAAAATGACAAAATAGCTGAATTTATTTGCGGCAGAAAGGGGCGGGGCGTGCTCCGTCACAGCTTGTGCTAAACAAGATGGACTTGGCGAATCTATTCTAATATATAAATCTACAGTGGTTTTTACGGATGTTCCGTTATAACTACTGAACCGTGCATCCGATTGACTTGAAACTTGGTATCCATGTAGAAAATACATGTATTTAGTGGATAGGTTAATATTTATATGAGCGTTGTACTCCCTACACCAGTTGCGGGGGCGCGAATAATGAGAATGTTTGTGGGGGTGAGGAATAATAATGTTAATTTTAAATGCCCAGCGAAGTTTTTTTTTTATTGCTTAGATGTGTGGACGAGTTCACAGCCCACCTGGTGTTAAATGGTTACTGGAGTCCATAGACATCTACAACGTAAATGCGCCACCCACCTTGAGATATAGTTCTAAGGTCTCAGTATAGTCACAACGGCTACACCGCCCTTCAAACCGAAACGCATTACTGCTTCACGGCAGAAGTGGACAGGTACAGCTAGTTTAGTTATAAAACTGTATTTGTGCTTAGCCTCAATAAAGTCTCCGGCTCCGGACTTAGCCCCCTACTTAACTACAGTGTTTCTCCAGCGCTATGACATGTCCTTCTTCAAACTATGCTCACGAAGAGTACTTAGGCTTTAAGTACACCGAGAGGCGACGCACTTGTCGGGCTTGAGGTCGCGGTGCACGATGCCGTAGGAGTGCAGGTACTCGACGGCCAGCACGGCCTCGGCGAAGTAGTGGCGCGCCATGTCGGGCGGCAGCGGGCCGGCGCGCAGCAGCGTGGCGCAGTCGCCGCCCTCCACGAACTCCAGGATGAGGCACAGGTGCCGCCGGCTCTCGAACGAGCAGTACATCGTCACCTGCACAGCGGAGCGAACTGTTATGCGGGGTCTCCCGATTAGGTTTAAAAAAAAAAGAAACATATTGTGTGCAATTCACACGTGTTAGAAGTGAAACCTTCAAAAATTAAAATACAATTATCCTAAATGTCTAAGTATATGTAAAATTTTGTCATTAGTAAATAATTGTAAATCATCTTTTATAGTATGAGGTGGCGCCCTCTGTGAATCGATATTTTAACGTCACGTATAATACTAAATTGAAATTCACTACAAGAGGTTTCATACGCACGTTAGTATTAAAAAATCTCATAGATGGCGCTGTATTAAAAATTTTCGACACTTTCGTTGCATACCTGCGTGACGTTCTATAAAAATTTAACCCTCATGCGCCTAAACAAGTTTCACTTCAAAAAGAATTTTGAAGAAGAGATTTCACTTTTATGACCGCTCCCGATGGGTGACTAAATACGACTGAGTGACCCTCGGTCGGTTACCAAGAGATTTCTCACAATGCTTACTCAGCACCAGTGGTGTTTGAAAGAGATGTATCATTACTTTAACTAACATGGGGAGTCTGTGACAGAACGATCCAGTGGTAGCACTGCCGATATTATTATGTACTTAGCCAATGACGAGGGCTTACAACTTACGAAGGAGTGGGGAGAGGGGGGAGGTAGACATTATAAACATTTCACATTTAACATTTCAAAGATCAGAACAAAATTACTTCACAATACCACTATATATATTTTTTTTTTTTTTTAATTGCATATATGGGTGGACGAGCTCACAGCCCACCTTGAGACACTAGTGCTTTAGAGCAAAAATAAACAGGGCGGTGGTACCTACCCGCGCGGATTCACAAGAGGTCCTACCACCAATAACCTAATGTGAGCCCGTACCACCCTGTCTATTTATGATGCAACACATGCTTTCCGGTTTGTAGAGTGGGGCAGACAAGCTCGCGGCCCTCCCGGCGTCACATTTGTTACCAGGGCTCATAGACATCATAGCCTGACTGTCACAAAACCTCCTGCAATCGTTTGGCAGATTTAATTTTGATTACACGACGATATCTCTTCGTCGTGGAAGTCATTCATAAACGTTAAGAACGTAAAATAATAGTACCTGCCTGCGGGATTCGAACCCCGACACTGTGGCTTCGTCTGACACTAGAACACCCTGAGGACCTCAAGGTCAGTCAGCACGTAGGCAGCTGGTAAGGGACTCACCACGAACGGATTATCAGCGAAACTGAGGATGTCCCTCTCGGCGAACGCCTGCTCCACTTGGTTCCTCAGTATCAAATTGTTTTTGCTGATCTTCTTCATAGCGAACCTGTGGGGGAACCTCCTCCTTAATGACGGTCCACAGAAATTCAATTTGAAGGAGGATTTAAAAAAAAATTGGTCCTTTTTTTATTGCTTAGATGGATGGACGAGCTCACAGCCCACCTGGTATTAAGTGGTTACTGGAGCCCATAGACATTTACAACGTAAATGCGCGCCACCCACCTTAAGATATCAGTTTTAAGGTCTCAGTATAGTTACAACGGCTACCCCACCCTTCAAACCGAAACGCATTACTGCTTCACGGCAGAAATAGGCGAGGTGGGACTCACAAGAGGTCCTACCACCAGTAAAAATAGCAAATTGACTGAGTGTTGTGGATCCCTCTGGAGAGCTGCCACCGTTTGTTTTATATCTAGCGCGAAGCACCCATTCTTGCGGCGTGAGACCACTAAGAGTTTGACCACACTCATGGGCTCCGGTACCCACTTCCCATAAGATGGGTAATAAGCCTTCAACGGCAATAAAAAGAAGAAAAACAGTTCGGACGTGCTAAAAAGTGCGTACCGTAGATTGGGGGGAATCTGGAGCCTTTCCAAATTCAACACATATTTTCAATGGTTTTTCTTAGAGTAATACCAATATAAAATTGAGATTAAAATGGTTCCGGAGCCTTAAATTTTTATATACGACGTGTTATTTATTATACATAGTTCATTACAAAATATACACAAAAACTGAGAAAACTAGCTTGACCCGATTCATCATGGCTTTGGGGTGTATCAGGTTACGTATGGGGACAATTGTTAGGTAGGTACCTAACTTTAGGTAATTAACTTTTTAATATCTTTAATTAGTTACAAAACTTTGTTGACTAAATTAAACTATTTAATATTCTTAAGCACAAAATAAAAATCATTTTCAGTTCAACAAAGTTAAATCTAGCAACTCAACAAAAGTATTGTGACATCCCAGATTTGTCCCTATTCTAACTAATCTCTGTTCCCCCCAATCTACTATACCTATAAAATTATTATATTTCATTGTACAGCAGGCAATTTTTATTTATTGATTAGATGAGTAAACTAACTAACGGTTCATCTGGTGTTAAGTGATTATAGAAGGCCGTAGAGAAATGTAATTGCCTCTTTTTACTACATGCATATGAATATTTTTGTCTGTCTGTCTGTCTGTTTGTTCCGGCTAATCTCTGGAACGGCTGGACCGATTTTGACGGGACTTTCACTGACAGGTAGCTGATGATATAAGGAGTAACTTAGGCTACTTTTTTTAGACTAGCTTCGCCCCGCGGTGTCACCCGCCGTACGACAATAACTGCGGGTAACATCGCGGGACTCAGCTATCAATTATAAAATTTAATGTTTCCGAAGCGAAGCGAAGTTACAAATATAAATGTCGCTTGAACCAAATAACTATTCACTCCTCGATATGTTTGTCTCTCTCTTGTGTCGCTTTTTCGTTTCCTCTAGTTTCAAATCACAACGGTCCTTTCTTTACTTAAAAACAAAGTTATCTGCATTTACCACACACCTCTGCCTCGTTTGTTTGTGTTTGACTAGATACACGGCTCCGTAAGCTCCGTTCGATATGAGCTTTATGACCTGGTAGTCAGCTTCCGAAGGGGGCGCCCCAGAACTCGAGCCGGGGGGTGACTGGCGGCCGCGAAGCCTGCGACAGAAACAATATTATGGTACATTGAAAAAATAAATTTCCTTTCAATTATTGTATCATACTGGACTTTAGGTAAAATAGTAAGAAAAAGATCAGGCTCGTTAGAACACTAATATTCTCAATATTTCTATACGCTGCTGAGACGTGGACCGTGTTAGACGTGGAAAGGAAGAAAATAGACGCTCTGGAAATGTGGTGCTGGAGAAGAATGCTTGGAGTTTCGTGGACCGACTTTCGTACAAATGTCTCGATACTTCAGGAACTCGGCATCAAGCAGCGTCTATTTGGTATAGTACAGTCTCGAATGGTGGATTTCTTCGGACACGTTTCGCGACGAGATGGCCGGTCCATAGAACGCCTCGTTGTACAGGGAAGCGTTGATGGTACAAGACCGCGCGGGAGGCCACCAATGCGGTGGACCGACCAGATTAAAATTGCAGTGGGAGGTCCCCTAAATGAGTGCAGTAGAATGGCATCGAGCCGGGAGAGATGGCGCGACATCGTGAGACGCATCAAGTCTGCCCCTTCCAACACTACATGAGGATCACGACCACTCTGTCAAGAGTGACACGACTGAGAAGAAGTAAGACAAAAAGGGAGAGAATCAAGAGAGAGAGAGAGAGAGAGACATACATTAATATTTATTTTACCATCGAGCTGGTTTAATGATGGAACATGAAAGGTGCAAAGCACACCTCGTTTAGATTCTATCGATTTAGAAGAACGTTTACCATTCAGAGGGCTTTTTTTTTACAAACATCTCGTAGTTGTACCACTGGTAGGCAGCGGCTTGGTTCTGCCCCTGGCGTTGTTGAAGTCCATGGTCGACGGTAACCACTCACCATCAGGTGGGCCGTATACTCGTCTACCTACAAGGGCAATAAAAATAAATAAATAAAACTTAAGCATAGAATGATTTTCTTACTTGGATGGCGAGGTATTCTGCGGGAGAGGAGGAGGCGGGGGGGCGTGCAGCTCGGCCAGCGGGTCCTTGGAGAGTCCCAGCTTGTGGATGATGTACTGTGGAATGTCTGTTATGCCCTGAGGATCAAGTAGACTATGTTAATCCAAATGTATTCGTGGTCACCCTATTCGGGGTGGACATTACGCACGAGGGACACACGGCCATTTCACTAGAAAGCTGACGATCTGTTTGCTTAGTGCGAGTTTTTTAACTTTCTCGATAGCGTAAAAGTTAACTCACATTTGTATGGAGTTGGAACAGAGCCTCTAGCGGCAAACGTAGGCAAACGTTCCAACAATACAAATTTCAGTAAACTTTAATAATTATTTAATAACTAATAACAGACATTCCAAGACACGCGTCTTTAAATGATATGATAAGAAGGGCGCTCACTACAGTCAATGTTCCGGCTGTCTTGGAACCCATCGGAATTTTGAGGTCAGATGGGAAAAGGCCCGATGGAGTCACGCTGATTCCATGGTCAGTTGGTAGGTGCCTGGTATGGGATGCTACTTGTGTGGATACTGTGGCTCCCTGTCATTTAGATGGTACTTNAGATATTTACGTATATTCATGTTTCATTTTATGTACGCACTGAAATACTGTTATATTGTTTTCCTGCGAGTTAAAGTGCTGAGTAAGAACGAGATAGATATATGTTTATGTATGTGCCTTCAAAATGGGTGCTATTTATATAAGCAATTGTACGTATAGAACAATATGTCGTGTCCCTACTATATAGGTCTATGGTTTATACACTATGTCATCTACACCAAGTAATAATGTTTATACTCTATGTCATCTACACCAAGTAATATTTATTAATTTGTTTCAACTGATCTTATTTAGAGCTCAAGGATTTCATATGAAAATAGACTGGTCAGATAATTTTGATGTTGGTATGTATGAGAAGGCTCGTGGCTCATGTGATATTAACACTAATCATACCAACACTTACTGGTACCTATTTCTACCATAGCAGATAGATAACGGTATCCTACCGGTATTATTCAAAATAAACAAAACAAAACAAAAAAATAGTATATTAACTGTAAATCATTGGTAAGAAAAAAACATGAAGTTAAATGTGCAAAAGCAATAAGACGATACGTGAATTTTCAATGCAAAAGTTCAAAATGGGTCATTTGACCCGTTATGGTATGTTTAGTGTTAATCGGTTACAGCGCCATGTGTCTGGGCAGGGTGGAACTGCTCAAGCTAGCACCAAAAACATGCTATTATATATATTCAGATTCTTTACTCTCCCAACAACATCTACCGGAAGGGATGAGGTACAGGTCCTCTAGGTATCCCCCAGCCAGAACACAACGATTACTGAGAGTTTGAGGCCCCCACGGAACCTACTTACCATTGACAGTATGAGCGAACAGCTCCTCAGGAGTGTCGCCGAAGAACGGCACACATCCCACCAGGAACTCGTACAGGATGACACCCATCGACCACCAGTCCACCGGCTTCCCGTAGCCCTGCAGCGGAAGGATTTTTTTTATGACATACATGGGTGAGCTACCTCACAACGCATATGGTGATAGGTGGTTACCTAAGCCCATAAACATCTACAACGTAAATGCCGCCATCTACCTTGAAATATGAGTTCTAAGATCTCAGTTTTTATACAGTACAACAACTGCCCCGCCCTTCAAATCAAAACGCATTACTGCTTCACGGCAGAAATAGGCGGGGCGGTGGTACCTACCCGTGCGGAATCACAGAGGTCTTACCACCAGTAATTACGCAAATTTACATTGATGCAAGTAGATGATGTATAATAGGTTAGAGAAGAAAGGGATAGTGGTTTGGGCGGATACCGGATACCGAATATTCGGCAAGCTGCGAGGCCAGAGCGCCGGGTATTCGGCTACCAAATATTGTGTGCCTAGTGTGGCCTAATTTGCCTTTTGTATAACCATGAGATTTTCTTAAATTTTGCGATCCGAAATCCGGCTGGATACTAATTTACTATCCGGTATCCGGATAGTTACCGGATATACGTTTCATTTCTAATGTATGTCTGGGTGCTTGTCGTGCCGCGCGCCAGACTGACCTGTCGGAGTATGACCTCCGGCGCGATGTACTCTGGAGTGCCGCAGACCTGCTTGTCGGAGAACTGCCGCGCCTCTCTGTCGGCGTACTCCTCATATAAATTCGTCGCCACTGTAAACACAAGCAGAAACTATAGTAAAAAAAAATACAGTATATTTATTTATTGTACAACTAGTGTACTCGGAATTCGAACCACGGGCCGCATGCCTAGTTGCAAAAACAAAGACGTTCACGTGTGACCAAAACTAATCCTTCTGAAGTATTCTATCTCGTTCTCGCGCAAAACAAATAAATATCTCTTCGTCTCTTTTTTGTTGTCATTTCCGTTCTTCAATAAATGACAAATAAGAAGGTCGGTAAAGATTTTTTCTAATCACATGTAAAACAATTATAGTCTCTACGTACACGACATAAGTCCCATTTTGCTCAACCCAAAATCTGTCAGTTTGATGTGGCCGGTGGCAGTGATCAGCAAGCTGAAACAAGTCGTGTGCTATTAAATTTACACATTAGAAATTTATATTTAAAATCATTAGACATTTATATTTACATTACGTCTTTATATTTTACATAACATTACAAGTATGTAACTATACTTGAGACCTTAGAACTTATATCTCAAGGTGGGTGGCGCATTTACGTTGTGGATGTCTATGGGCTCCAGTAACCACTTTACCAGGTGGGCTGTGAGCTCGTTCACCCATCTAAGCAATAAAAAAAAAATGTGAAAAAAACTTTATAAATGTTTATTTAATTATCATTTCTTTTTAATTTCAAAGATATTTTAAACCGAACCACTTTGTCTGTTGATTGCATGTTGTAAATGCTTCATTTCTTTTCGAAGCATAAAATTAAAATGACAAAATAGCTGAATTTATTTGCGGCAGAAAGGGGCGGGGCGTGCTCTGTCACAGCTTGTGCTAAACAAGATGGGCTTGGCGAATCTATTCTAATATATAAATCTACAGTGGTTTTTACGGATGTTCCGTTATAACTACGGAACTATGCATCTGATTGACTTGAAACTTGGTATCCATGTAGAAAATACATGTACTTAATGGATAGGCTAATATTTATATCAGCGTTGGACTCCCTATACCAGTTGCGGGGGCGTTAATGATGAGAATCTTTGTGGGGGTGAGAAATAATAATGTTAATTTTAAGCCCAGCGAAGTTTTTTTTATTGCTTAGATGTGTGGACGAGCTCACGGCCCACCTGGTGTTAAATGGTTACTGGAGCCCATAGACATCTACAACGTAAATGCGCAACTCACCTTGAGATATAGTTCTAAGGTCTCAATATAGTCACAACGGCTGCCCCACCCTTCAAACCGAAATGCATTACTGCTTCACGGCAGAAGTGGACGGGTACAGCTAGTTTAGTTATATAACTGTATTTGTGCCAAGCCTCAATAAAGTCTCCGGCTCAGGGCTTAGCCCCCTACTTAAATACAGTGTTTCTCCAGCGCTATGACATGTCCTTCTTCAAAGGAGGCTCACGAAGAGTACTTAGGCTTTAAGTACACCGAGAGAAGACGCACTTGTCGGGCTTGAGGTCGCGGTGCACGATGCCGTAGGAGTGCAGGTACTCGACGGCCAGCACGGCCTCGGCGAAGTAGTGGCGCGCCATGTCGGGCGGCAGCGGGCCGGCGCGCAGCAGCGTGGCGCAGTCGCCGCCCTCCACGAACTCCAGGATGAGGCACAGGTGCCGCCGGCTCTCGAACGAGCAGTACATGGTCACCTGCACAGCACAGCGAACTGTTATGCGGGGTCTCCCGATTAGGTTTAAAAAAAAAAAGAAACATGTGTGCAATTCAGACGTGTTAGAAGTGAAACCTTCAAAAATTAAAATACAATTATCCTAAATGTCTAAGTATATGTAAAATTTTGTCATTAGTTAATAATTGTAAATCATCTTTTATAGTATGAGGTGGCGCCCTCTGTGAATCGATATTTTAACGTCACGTATAATACTAAATTGAAATTCACTACAAGAGGTTTCATACGCACGTTAGTATTAAAAAATCTCACAGATGGCGCTGTATTAAAATTTTTCGACACTTCCGTTGCATACCTGCGTGACGTTCTATAAAAATTTTACCCTCATGCGCCTAAACAAGTTTCACTTCAAAAAGAATTTTGAAGAAGAGATTTCACTTTTATGAGTTCAATTACGATTAAATTTTAGAAAATGGCAGAAAGGAGATATTGTTTAAGACCGCTCCCGATGGGTGACTAAATACGACTGAGTGACTCTCGGTCGGTAACTATTACCAAGAGATTTCTCACAATGCTTAGTCAGCACCAGTGGTGATTAAAAGAGATGTATCATTACTTTAACTAACATGGGGAGTCTGTGACAGAACGATACAGTGGTAGCACCGCCGATATGTACTTAGCCAATGACGAGGGCTTACAACTTACGAAGGAGTGGGGAGGGGGGGGGGGGGGGAGGTAGACATTTTAAACATTTCACATTTAACATTTCAAAGATCAGAACAAAATTACTTCACAATACCAAAATATTTTTGTCTTTTTTTATTTTTTATTGCATATATGGTTGGATGAGCTCACAGCCCACCATGAGACACTAGTGCTTTAGAGCAGAAATAAGTAGGGCGGTGGTACCTACCAACGCGGATTCACAAGAGGTCCTACCACCAGTACGTATTGAGCCCGTACCCCCACCCTGCTTATTTATGACGCAGCATATGCTTTTCGGTTTGAAGAGTGGGGTAACTGAGCTCACGGCCCTCCTGGCGTCACCATTCTTACCAGGGCTCATAGCCATCACAACTAAACTGTCACAAAACCTCCTGCAATAGTTTTCTCTTCATCGTGGAAGTCATTCATGAACGCGAAGTACGTATTTCATTAGAAAAAAAAATTACCTGCCTGCGGGATTCGAACCCTGACCCTGTGGCATCGTCCGACACTAGTACACCCGGAATACCTCAAGGTCAGTCAGCACGAAGGCAGCTGGTAAGGGGACTCACCACAAAGGGATTATCAGCGAAACTGAGGATGTCCCTCTCGGCGAACGCCTGCTCCACTTGGTTCCTCAGTATCAAGTTGTTTTTGCTGATCTTCTTCATGGCGAACCTGTGGGAACCTCCTCCTTAATGACGGTCCACAGAAATTCAATTTGACGGAGGATTTTAAAAAAATGGTCCTTTTTTATTGCTTAGATGGATGGACGAGCTCACAGCCCACCTGGTGTTAAGTGGTTACTGGAGCCCATAGACATCTACAACGTATATGCGCCACCCACCTTGAGATATCAGTTCTAAGGTCTCAGTATAGTTACAACGGCTAACCCACCCTTCAAGCCGAAACGCATTACTGCTTCACGGCAGAAATAGGCGAGGTGGGACTCACAAGAGGTCCTACCACCAGTAAAAATAGCAAGTTGACTGAGTGTTGTGGATCCCTCTGGAGAGCTGCCACCGTTTGTTTTATATCTAGCGCGAAGCACCCATTCTTGCGGCGTGAGACCACTGAGAGTTTGACCACACTCATGAGCTCCGGTACCCGCTTCCCATAAGATGGGCAGTAAGCTCTGCCTTCAACGGCAATAACAAGAAAATACAGTTTGGACGTGCTAAAAGTGCATACCGTAGATTGGGGGCGAATCTGGAGCCTTTCCAAATTCAACACATATTTTCAATGGTTTTTCTTAGAGTAATACCAATAAAATTTAGATTTAAATGCTTCCGGAGGCTTAAATTTTTATATACGATGCGTTATCTATATATATAAAAGAGAGTCGTGTTAGTTACACTATATATAACTCAAGAACGGCTGAATTTATTTGGCTGAAAATTGGTGGGGAGGTAGCTTAGAACCGGGAGAAGGACATAGGATACTTTTTATCACGTTCCCGTGGTATGACGTAAAACGTGGTATAACAAAACGCAACTGATATGGAATAATAAAACGCAACTGACAGCTAAACGTAACGTAGTCTGTGGTTAACTGAAACAAAAAAATGACCTTGATAAAATCTAAAGTCTGCTCATTTACTTATTGCCTCTAAGGCGAAACAAAGTTCGCCGGGTCACCTAGTTATACATAGTTCATTACAAAATATACACAAAAACTGAGAAAACTAGCTTGACCCGATTCATCTGGGCTTTGGCTTGGCGTCAGGTTACGTATGGGGACAATTGTTAGGTACCTAATTTTAGGTAATTAACTTTTTAATATCTTTAATTAGTTACAAAACTTTGTTGACTAAATTAAACTATTTAATATTCTTAAGCACAAAATAAAAATCATTTTCAGTTCAACAAAGTTAAATCTAGCAACTCAACAAAAGTATTGTGACATCCCAGATTTGTCCCTATTCTAACTAATCTCTGTTCCACCCAATCTACTATACCTATAAAATAATTAATTTCATGGTACAGCAGGCAATTTTTATTTATTGATTAGATGAGTAAACTAGCTAACGGTTCATCTGGTGTTAAGTGATTATAGAAGGCCGTAGAGAAATGTAATTGCCTCTTTTTACTACATGCATATGAATATTTTTGTCTGTCTGTCTGTTTGTTCCGGCTAATCTCTGGAACGGCTGGACCGATTTTGACGAAACTTTCACTGATAGATAGCTGATGATGTAAGGAGTAACTTAGGCTACTTTTTTTAGACTAGTTTTGCCCCGCGGCTTCACCCACGGTACGACAATAACTGCGGGTAGCATCGTGGAACTCAATTATCAATAATAAAATTTAATGTTTCCGAAGCGAAGCGAAATTACAAATATAAATGTCGCTTGAACCAAATAGCTCTTCACCCCTCGATATGTTTGTCTCTCTCTAGTGTCGCTTTTTCGTTTCCTCTAGTTTCAAATCACAACGGTCCTTTCTTTTACTTAAAAACAAAGCTATCTGCATTTACCACACACCTCTGTCTCGTTTGTTTGTGTTTGACTAGATACACGGCTCCGTAAGCTCCGTTCGATATGAGCTTTATGACCTGGTAGTCAGCTTCCGAGGGGGGCGCCCCCGAACTCGAGCCGGGGGGCGACTGGCGGCCGCGAAGCCTGCAACAGAAACAATCTTATAGTACATTGAAAATATAAAGTTTCCTTTCAATTATTGTATCATACTGGACTTTAGGTAAAATAGTAAGACAAAGATTAGGCTCGTTAGAACACTAATATTGTCAATATTTCTGTACGCTGCTGAGACGTGGATCGTGCGAGACGTGGAAAGGAAGAAAATAGACGCTCTGGAAATGTGGAGCTGGAGAAGAATGCTTGGAGTTGCGTGGACCGACTTTCGTACTAATGTCTCGATACTTCAGGAACTTGGCATCAAGCAGCGTCTATTTGCTATAGTACAGTCTCGAATGGTGGATTTCTTCGTGCCTCGTTGTACAGGGAAGCGTTGATGGTACAAGACCGCGCGGAAGGCCACCAATCCACCGCATCGACCAAATTAAAACTGCAGTGGGAGGTCCCCTAAACGAGTGCAGTAGAATGGCCTCAAGCAGGGAGAGGTGGCGCGACATCGTGAGACGCATCAAGTCTGCCCCTTCCAGCACTACATGACGATCACGACCTGACAAGAGTGACACGACTGAGAATAAGTAAGACAAAAAGGGAGAGAAGCAAGAGAGAGAGATAGAGAGAGAGACATACATTAATATTTATTTTACCATCGAGCTGGTTTAATGATGGAACATGAAAGGTGCAAAGCACACCTCGTTTAGATTCTATCGATTTAGAAGAACGTTTACCATTCAGAGGGCTTTTTTTTTACAAACATCTCGTAGTTGTACCACTGGTAGGCAGCGGCTTGGTTCTGCCCCTGGCGTTGTTGAAGTCCATGGGCGACGGTAACCACTCACCATCAGGTGGGCCGTATACTCGTCTACCTACAAGGGCAATAAAAATAAATAAATAAAACTTAAGCATAGAATGATTATCTTACTTGGAAGGCGAGGTATTCTGCGGGAGGGGAGGGGGCGGGGGGGCGTGCAACTCGGCCAGCGGGTCCTTGGAGAGTCCCAGCTTGTGGATGATGTACTGTGGAATGTCTGTTATGCCCTGAGGATCAAATAGACTATGTTAATCCAAAATTATAATTTGCGTAATTACTGGTGGTAGGAAGTCTTGTGAGTCCGCGCGGATAAGTACCACCGCCCTGCCTATTTCTGCCGTGAAGCAGTAATGCATTTCGGTTTGAATGGTGAGGTAGCCGCTGTAACTATACTTGAGACCTTAGAACTTATATCTCAAGGTGAGTGGCGCATTTACGTCGTAGATGTCTATGGGCTCCAGTAGCCACTTAACACCAGGTGGGCTGCGAGCTCGTCCACCCGTCTTGGCAATAATAATAAAAAGAAATAAAAATGTATTCGTGGTCACCCTATTCGGGGTAGACATTACGCACGAGGGACACACGGCCATTTCACTAGAAAGCTGACGATCTGTTTGCTTAGTGCGAGTTTTTTAACTTTCTCGATAGCGTAAAAGTTAACTCACATTTGTATGGAGTAGGAACAGAGCCTCTAGCGGCAAACGTAGGCAAACGTTCCAACAATACAAATTTCAGTAAACTTTAATAACTATTTAATAACTAATAACAGTTAACGTTATCGAGAACGTTAAATTAAATAATAAATTATAGTTTAAAAAAGCTAACAAAATACGATTTTATAGAAAATCCAACTAAAAAATTGAAAATAAATTTTAATAAATTTGAATTAAAAATAGTGTAAGAAAAAATGATTTTATTGTAAAAAAGAGCGTGGGGTGCTTTTCAGGATAATATCAAAATAACACTTCTGCTCATATCTGTTCATAAAATATTTATAACTACTAATAGCATGCGACCCACGCTTTTTTTTTAGTAGTATTTTCTATAAAAGCGTATTTTATTAGTTTTTTTAAACTATTATTTATTTTTCATTTTTTAGTTGAATTTTAATTTTTTCAAATTGCTCAAATTTTTTTAAATATTGAATTGTCATCGTTCCTTAATAAGTATAGCGAATTTCGAGTTAATCCGATGTTTTGGAGGGAGTCAAAATGATGTTCAAAGATTCCGTTACATACTAACATACATACGTCTGAAGCTAATAAAAGCGTATTAAAAACTCGCACTATGCACAACGGTCCATTCGTCCAAAGGTTTTTAAATTTAAAACAAAGTATTTTCGGTTGCGCCTCTATAAATTTATTTCGTGTTACCTGCAAATGTCTGGCGTGTCCCTCCGCGGCCTCCAGCAGCCTGTAGAACCGCTCGGGATCGAACTCCAGACACTCGAGCAGGCGCGCCGGCCGGGCCATCGCCAGGATCAGCCGGTTGACCAGCGGCGCCACCTGACCACCCGCTTCGGCTGACTTCTCTCTCGTCTGCGAAATGTAACCGGATGCTATCATGCTGCAGAAGGGTTTTACTCATGGTAGGACCTCTTGTGAGTCCGCGCGGGTAGGTACCACCACCCTGCCTATTTCTGCCGTGAAGCAGTAATGCGGTTGGGGTTTGAAGGGCGGGGCAGCAGTTGTAACTATACTTGAGACTATAATATCTTGGCAAGATCCTGCCTCCAGAGCTGAGTAATGTCCTCAAGCTATGGTCAATGGAGGAGCTAAGCTGATAGCCTTGAGAGGCTATATCAGCGTAGCCTCAACTAGTAGGTGAGCTCACGGGGCTCAAACCTGATGACGTTGGTAACACGAACCCTAGCAAGAGCAGTGCTTCGCAGAATCTACCATCGGATCGGAAACGCGACCCACTGAGAGGATCCGTCGAGAAACTCAGTGGGCTGTGTATACCCCTGGATACTGGACTGAGGGTCGCGTGGAAGAACTCACCTCTGCAAGCAGCCGGTCCAGACTGTCTGCCATGTCATAGAAGTAGGTGCTGGTCACCTGCTTTGATTCTGACTTGTGGAGGCAGTCGCGAGCCATTTCCAGAACCTATGTACCGAATATCTGCGTAATTAGTTACAATTAACCACTTGTCAAATGTTTTCATCATATATTCCAATTTTACGGTAGACGATAAAAGGACTTAAGAACTATAGTGGGTGGAGCAGGAATATATCTCCCTATAATATATCTGTCTCTCTCGCACGCGCGCACTTTAACGGCGATGACGTCATAAGTCGTGATTTAATTATGATATCTTGTTGTTGACGCTCGTCACCGATCAAGTATCTAACTTAGTCATTTTAAAAAAAGGCATTTATTATCGATGTTGAATTTACTAATTAATTTAATTATACTACTGGTTTTAATCAGACAGGGTGACATTTTTGGTAATAATTCCAACATTCATTCATTCATTTCATTCATTCAACAACATGGCAAGAAACGGAAAAGAGAATGGCAGAAAGAAAGCAAGATGGCGAAGGCGATTCAATGAGCAAGGCGTACAAAAGATGTCACTTCATCATCATTCTGCTGTCCTTTCACCCAGTCACCTTGGGTCGGCGCAACATGCTTCCTACTTCCATACTCCTGTATCATATACCATTTCTTCGCTCACTCCCCTCTTACACATATCGACTTTCACGCAATCCATCCATTTTTTTCTTAGGTCTACCTCTTCCTCTAAACTAAAGGTGTAACTTAAATTTTAATTATAATAACAGAGAAGATTTTGGTAGAGAGCAATAAAAGTGCAACAGTGGAATGGTTAGCGTGGTATGGACATGTGATGCGTAGGGAGAAGATGCATGTGACTAGGAGATGTATGGAAATGATAATGCAAGATAGAGGGGGAAGAGGTCGACCGATTAAGACATAGACGGAGTGTGTGAATGACGATATGGGAGAAAGAGAGAGAAGGATGAATGTTGAGATGACGGCTGATAGAAGAGAATGGAAGAGAAAAATCAGCTGTGCCGACCCCACCTAGTGGGATAAGGTGGAGAAAAAGAAGAAATGGAATAGTTTTATTTGTTTAACTGGTGTTAACTGGTGGTAGGACCTCTGTGAGTCCGCGCGGGTAGGTACCACCGCCCTGCCTATTTCTGCCGTGAAGCAGTAATGCGTTTCGGTTTGAAGGGTGGGGCAGCCGTTGTAACTATAATGAGATCTTAGAACTTATATCTCAAGGTGGGTGGCGCATTTACGTTGTAGATGTCCATGGGCTCCAGTAACCACTTTACACCAGGAGGGCTGTGAGCTCGTCCACCGACCTAAGCAACAAAAAAAAAAAAAAAAATTTCATGCGCCACGATCCCAATTCTACAATAATTCTATACGTTAATCGTATCAGCAGTTTCTAAAGGTATACCTGTCTCTGTACGAATCTCTCTATAGGCGGCCGATCGGGTTTCTTATCCAATTCCGTGAGCTCATCGATTAGTCCTCTTAATCTGAAACATTTGACATTCAGTATGCTATCGAAGGTATTACGTATTTTATAAAGTTTTATGAGTAGGGTAAACTATCTAATTATTGGCATTTTGTTAGGATAAATTCGATACAGTTAACCCTCCTATAACACGGTATTTTACAATAGGGTTCCACTTTAACAGGGAAAGAAAAAATCTCGTAAACTCTCTTATAACACGGTACTTCTACAACACGATAACATGATTTTTGTTTAATATTATTTAGAAAATTACATTATGCACTATGAACACACAATATATGGGTATGGCCGTCTGGTGTAGTGGTAAGTGACATGGTCACTACACAAGGGGGTCGCGGGTTCGAATCCCGCCAAGGGAAGATATTTGTATGATAAATATAAATGTCTTTTCCAGGGTTATAGATGTATATTAAATATGTATATGTGTATAATAAAAAATCTTACATTTATTTCCGTTATCTGGTACCTGTAACACAAGTTCTTTACGAACTTATCACGGGACCAGTTAACGTGGCGTGATTGTTAGTAAATATTTATTTATTTATTTATAGCTAAGATGTTTACAATCTCGTATAACACGATTTCGCACAACGCGGGACTTTGTAGGAACGTATCTACCGTGTTATAGGTTACCTATGGTAAAACAATAAATCCTCGCTGCGATACCACGTTTTTGTGGGCAATTATAATATTTCGGGGTGACCCTAATGATAAATATGGGACACAAACTTGTCGTCCATAGATTTCTGAGCGGCGGGGAATCTGGCAGCGAACAGGGACGACATGGCCGACACGGCGTCGTCCCGCGAGCCGGACCCCCCGCCCGACGAGCCGCCGATAGAACGGGAAGGACTGCTGGAACAATGCACTCTATATCTATAGACTGAAGGTGCAATTTATAAAAGGGCTTTAACAAGCAACAGTAAAGCCGTTGTTCATACGATGACCGGTCACCGTCCTCGCCGAACCCGTCGCTTGCGACGAAGGGCTCGGCGAGTAAATTATCCCATAGACACAGCCCACTGAGTCTCTCGCCGGATCTTGTCAGTGGGTTGCGTTTCCGATCCGGTGGTAGATTCTACGAAGCCCTGCTCTTGCTAAGGCCAGTTAGAGCCCCTACACGCTAGGGTAACGCTGATATAGCCTCGCAAGGCTATAATATAAGCACAGGCAGGAAAAAAAGATATACAATGTAAATTTGAGGCGTATTTTTGACGAGACTTTTATTGTTTAAAATTAATTATTTTAATTCAAAGTTTGATGGAGTAGCCTATTCATTACAGTGAAAATAGAAGCCTGAACTTGTGGTAGATAGACATCATACAACAACACAAGACATATGACAAAGGCCTCAACCACGGTTACATTTTCACGATTAGCTTATATATATACAAGTTCCGAACAACAACATTCGGACCGTCGGTCTACCGAGCAAATATCACTCGCTCGGTGGAAGGGCTTCCCTTTGTCGTACACCACATAGATAATTCCCAAAATATAAAACCGAAAATAGCCAATTTTTTTTTTAAATCAGTGACCTTTACTACACGCCAATTGCTATAATTAATTGGCTAAAAAGAATAAACTTTTATTAAGAGGATTAATAAGCAATGGCCTCACCTAAGACTGCGACTCCGGACCCGTCGTGACAAGCCCTGCGGTGAAGGCGCGCGGGCTCCAGCATTGCCACTGCCGCCGCTATCCGAAAGGGACGCCCAGTTGTTCATACCGCTGCCCTGTGAACTGCTGCAAGAGAAAATACGGATATTAAAACAAGTTCTTATTCTTGAAGCATTTGTATAGGTTACTCCTTTTTCAAATCTTGCTGTGTCTCATAGTAAAATGTATTGACCCTTCGAATTTAATGATATTACCAAATACTAGTGCTGGAATTTTCCGTTAACATATCGAATGGCTTTAATGAGGGACAACATGCTACTCCGAACGAACATAATGTGAGTTAAGGACAAGAAGAAGAAGATGAGAAAAAGCCCACTGTGTTTCTCGCCGGATCTTCTCAGTGGGTCGCGTTTCCGATCCGGTGGTAGATTCAACGAAGCGTTGCTCTTGCTGGGGCTACTTTTAGCAACATCCTCTGGTTAGAGCCCCGTGAGTTTCACGCTCGATTACGCTGGCATAGCCTCTCAAGGCTACCAGCTTACGTAGGGAAATAAATGGAGACAGAAGATATTGGAAATTTAGCTGAAAATTCACGAGAATTACAGTGAATAATATTGTCCAAGGATACGAGATTAATATAGACGTTTTAATCGATCCAGTAAAGTTAAACTAGAACTTACTTGAGCGAGTTCTGATGTTGGCAATGAGGACACGGCGCCCGGGGCTGCGGGTCGCAGGCCGTCTGCACGGCCAGCAACCGCTCCTGGGACGAGCATTGTGACTGCAACAGAGCGGAGGAGTCCTACATTAATTTATTGAAGGGCGGGACAGCCGTTGTAACTATAGACCTTAGAACTTATATCTCAATGTGGGTGGCGCATTTACGTTATAGATGTCTATGGGCTCCAGTAACCACTTAGCACCAAATGGGCTGTGAGCTCGTCCACTCATATAAGCAATAAAAAAAATTATTGGAACAAATGTATACATTGCGGCTCAAGTATTGAAGCTAATGTTTGTTTTACAATAAACTTATATCGACACCAGAGGTTCGAAAAGGTCGTTTAAAAACTAGAGATGAAAATGCAGTTTTAGCTGCTAAAAACTTCGAGAAAACGTGCAAAAACTCTTACTACCTAGTAACCACATAATTATAAATACATAGTAATTCACACAAAACTCCAGAATCTTAGCCCATTAATTATTCTTTTTCACCGGACGAGGAAGAATTTCGTCGACCAAATTAATTGTTAACAGCACGAGCCAAAACAGCCACATAACGTTTCGAGATTGAGGCGATATTGCCGCGACAAATTTGGGTCATCGTTGGAGAATTCAAACAAAATTTATTTATGGAACGTACTAAATGAATTTATAATTAGGGATGCAGATGTCGTGTTTGAATTTTGATATCAACGGTTTTGAAAACGGAAGACGAAGAACTTCATAAAGATGATCTAAGTCAGTCTGATTTAAACTATGATATTACTGTAGGAAATGTTAATGTGAGTGTACCCTAATATACCTAAAAAAAGATATTTTCCAATAAATAATATATTTTATAACACAAAATTATTTGAAGATATCATTAACGCATTCCAAGGGCTTACAACGGTTTACAATTGAAACAAATTCTAAAAGCCTTCACTTCTGTATATCAGATCGCCCTTTGGCGAAGGCTCTCCCTAGAATTTGTCACACTTTTCTGTTCGTAGCTTTTCTTCTCCATATTACCCACAAAATACCCATAAATTATTTTCAAACTACTCACAAATTCCAAGAAGGAAGAAACGTTTATACGGTACAAATAAATAAATATTTACTAACAATCACGCCATGTTAACTGGTCCCGTGATAAGTTCGTGAAGAACTTGTGTTACAGGTACCAGATAACGGAAATAAATGTAAGATTTTTATTATACACATACATATATTTAATATACATCCATAACCCTGGAAAAAACATTTATCATACAAATATCTTCCCTTGGCGGGCTTCGAACCCGCGACCCCCTTGTGTAGTGACCATGTCACTTACAACTACACCAGACGGTCGTCACGATACATTCGGGTTCCGTATTTCACGTATTTACACTAATGGTAAAAGGTTTGTAAATTACCTATCTTAAGCCATGTCATTAACACTGAATAGATATTACATAACATATAACTCTGAACATTCGTGGACACACTCCGCTCTGTCCGTGTTAGGTATTGATACGTTTAAAAAATATGAAAAAATATTACGTTACGTGCGCAGTTTTCAACCGCATGACGCATGATTCAACTAAGGCATATTTTAGTTGGTCACACACAATATTTCTTCACAGCAGAATCAAAATTAACAATGTTGAAAAAATGTACTTCATTACAGAATTTATAGGTCTTTCTATCTTTTTTTTTTTTTTTTTTTTTTTTTTTTTTTTTTTTTTTTTTTTTTTTTTTTTTTTTTTTTTTTTTTTTTTTTTTTTTTTTTTTTTTTTTTTTTTTTTTTTTTTTTTTTTTTTTTTTTTTTTTTTTTNGTATAGTCACAACGGCTGCCCCACCCTTCAAACCGAAACGCATTACTGCTTCACGGCAGAAATAGGCGGGGCGGTGGTACCTACCCGTGCGGACTCACAAGAGGTCCTACCACCAGTAATTACGCAAATTATAAGTTTGCGGGTTTGATTTTTATTGCACGATGTTATTCCTTCACCGTGGAAGTCAATCGTGAACATTTGTTGAGTACGTATTTCATTAGAAAAATTGGTACCCGCCAGCGGGATTCGAACACCGGTGCATCGCTCGATACGAATGCACCGGACGTCTTGTCCTTTAGGCCACGACGACTTCAATCGTCTTCTATCTTTCTATCTTTTTATCATTGTTCTTTATTTTTATCACCAAACCTTAATTTCAAATATTTAGGATCAAACTATTACAGAATTCGCAACATCATATTGTATAAGAAGACCATAACGGCGCGGCGACTTAACTTCAATACATGTAAATTATTCACGTTAATAAATGCTACAATAAAATTAGATAATACGACCACACGCTGTATATATAGTAAACGTGTGCATTACAATAAATAGATAGGCAGGTTGTTTGTATTTGAATAGCTATTAAAAAAACGATTAACACCCTGTGAATGAATCATTAATCATTTTTATTATTTTTCTTAACCGGTAAACAACATTCAAGTATTTCATATATCTGACTATCATTATTCAATTTGGCACAACTATTGAATTACTAGAAAACATTACGACAAGAATCTCCTTTTGTGCAAAAATACTGTAAACAATATTATTTAGTACTATCAAGGTTATATGTTTATTTTTCGTAGGCGCAACAGTCTCAGCTAGAACTACAAGGTACTTGTCCGTAATAATAAGGAGAATGACTCCGCCTACTATAAGATATTTTGGTCAAAATCAACCACGGTACAGTCGCAACAGAACAGCTTATACCTTAATCCTTCTATAATCCTGTGACCGCTTGGAGGCAAATGAATAAAAATAGAGAAAGTGAAAATATCAAAAGTGTCAGAACGCTCTTATTGTGACCGCCTCTAATTACACACCCGACTCGGACGAGATTAACAATCTTCTCCATCACTGTGAACAAGCTCCTCACAGTACAAATTCGCAATAATAATGCCGGCGTCAGAGGAAGGAAGGTAAGCCTAAGAAGAAATTTGCGTGAAAGACGATATATGCAAGAGTGGAGTGAGCGAAGAAATGGTATATGATAGAGGAGTATGGTAGTACCTCAGGTGACTGGGAGAAGGGCAGGAGAACGGTGAATGCTGTCGCCATTTAGACCAGGGGTTCCCAAGCTTATTTTGTCTACTGCCCACTTTGAGAATAAATTATTTTTTAGCGCCCCCATTTTTTCACTTACTTAAAAACAACTATAGCGAGAGCTTAGTCAGTGTCTAAGAGTCATCCTAAATGAAATTACAAATCTCCTCCCAAGCCTCTACAAATCGCCCCCATTTTTTTTCTGGGTCTCTTACCCACAAGGGGACGTTATCGCCCACTTTGGGAAAGGCTGATTTAGACCAACATGCTGTTATAATGATATGACCATGATTTTTTGCCTAGATGCTAAACCAGAATCTAACCAACATGATTACGCCCTTACGATTAACAAAAACAAATCCATTCTTCATCGCAAGTGACAATGCGAGCCAAAATCCCTTCGTCCCTGTATCTGTTAAGTAATGCCAGGCATACCTTGACGCATTCGTCGCGCTAGCGATCGTTCAGTTCGTGCGGCTCCACTTATCAAGTTTTTTTACCTTGCTAATTTGACGCAAATGGACCAATATTATTTTGATGCTAACGTTGAAAGCCGCTGCTAACACAACAGCAGGTTGAGTATCGTCAGCTTCCTCTGTCGCCTTTAAATCACCGAAGACTTTGGTTTTCGAGCGACCATGGGCTTCGTTTTGGAGATCAAAATCTTCATATAGGAAGCGTTCAAATCAATAGAGTGGTGCGTTCGTTTTAAGTGTGCACTTCATACACGTCAGTAACATTGTGAGCCATTTGGTTGGCAGCATTGCTACCGCGACAGAACTCATATTCTATAATTATTCGTATTTTTAAAAATGATTGAATTTGAAAATAGAATTACAATTATTCTTTTAAAAATTTCTTTTAAATTTAGTGTTCGTTGCCACCCATAGATAAATTACGTTTCAAACGGCCAGTATTATAAGACGGCAACTTCATGGGTTAAGACATGTTTAAATGGTTATTTTACTGGACCACCCATTCACTTTTGCAGCCAACTGTACGGTCACCACTCACACAACTGTACACAGGCTGACTGTTCTAGCTTTCAAGGTTATATTTAGCTCAAACCAAAATTGGTCGTACCAGGTCAGCTACAATACGTTCTACAACCAGATAATTAGATATCCTCTCTATAGCCACTCCTTCTCCTTGTATCGTGTTCCTCAGTGCTGAGGGCTGTGACCTTTACGAAGCACTTTTGTTTGGCCCATGTTCCTCCATTCTTGCCTGTCCTCTGCATAGTGGGTAGCAACATTGACTATGACCGCTATGATGCCATAAAATCTGCGATAATGTCCATTTAGTTTTGGTTTAACGAGGACCCGTAACCCGAATCATTAGTGTTGTTTTTCCCTATAGATAAATGATATGTTTTATTGCCTTCATAGGTCGATGAGCATACGACCCATCTCTCAAAACCACTTGTAAGTCGTAGCGCTCAAGGAATATTCCGAAGGAAAATTTGTGCCCAAACCGGATAGTACGAACAGAAAGATATATCTGAAAACGCACAGTAGATGAATGCAGCAGTTCTGAGTACTAATAGGGGTAAATTCTGTGTGTGGTGGGAGATTTGATGAAAAATCATATGGTACATGAATCGAGTGTGAAGGGTTAGTTCGTCACGACTGTATTTTTATAATCAATGTGGAATCAATGATTTTAGTTCTATTACCTGTAATATTCGTGTGTATTATTTGAACTAAAAATTTATTAAGAAACCTTCAATGACCCTAGTTATATTTAAATGAATTTTGGTTCGTTTTTGCTAAAGCCCTCAGCGGAATTTTGAGCGCCCACTTAAAAAGATTTCACATGAAATGGAAGAAACTTTTTTAAACTGCAAAGTATTGAAGGCCATAAGAAGGCGACATGACTGTGGTCCTGATTCCATCACAACTAAAAAAAAACTCGCAGCAAACAGTATTTTAAAACGAAATTCAATAAAAATATTTATTACGCAATAGGAATAGATAAGGATGAGTTCTTGCGT